TTACCTCACAATAGGCATTTTTATTTTACATGTATATGCTTGGGGTTGCTAAATAGACAAACAATATTCAGCCTTATGGAAAATTTCGAAGGAAGCTTGTAAAGGGAAAAGAAATATTCATGAATATGGTGTGTGAAGAAAATAAAAAATATAATAATTATGACATATACATGTTTTTTTTTCATCTTGCCTAAAGAGTAGATGTTTGACATTTACAGTATCGAGCAAGCAAGTTCCATATCAGTAAGCGTGTTGATATAGCCATTGGGAATTGATAAATCCCACACCAATTTCGTGTTGCCAAGCTAATTCTTAATGTTGATAGGCTGCTTCCTGTACAATGATTATCTTAAACCTTGTTCGCCTGACAAATTCAATTCCTGACCAATTTTTATTATTCAAAGTAATCTGAGTTTAATGTGGACGAATTTGTGTAAAACATTTTATGTCATTTGAAAATTTAGTCCAAATTTACTTCCATAAATCAGGATTTTAAGTCAAAAGGTTTATCAAGATCAACTGATTCTTTCCAGATTTAAAATAAGCCAGTTGCTTAATACATTGTTAGACAAAATTTATCCATTAGTTACATGTAGCTGTGACTTGATATATGTTCTAAATTTTAGTGATTAGGTGGATGAGTGTAATTCAGTCTGACCTTGAAATTAATGGTTTTTTTTGTGGCCAAATATAATTAGAAAAAACCTGAGAAATATAGGACTTTTAATATCAGAATTAGTTCACAGTTAAACTAAAGATATTTTATCAGATAAACAGTTTGTTAAATTCATGCTTGAGTCACCAGAGAAAAAGTTTGTTTTATTAAAAGTTTTCCTTTTGCAATTCTTGGTTACAAAAAAACTATCCCATTGCTATCAATGTCAAATTTGGATCACTTGCTATTTCTCTAGTCTCTGTTTAGATGTGATTTCTAGCATAAGATTCGTGGATTTTTATCAACAAGTAATTGCTTTAGAGTTCAATGAGTTAATTGTTAATTGATCTGTTAACTGAATTGATTAGTTTACCTTAAGTCACAACGATCAATACTTCATTAATTGCATTATTATTCCTCAATTTTTATTCAGCTTACCTTGCAGGAATCAAGTAAATACAATCTCTTTGATGACTAAATTGGAGATTCAGCTAAAACTTGCAAGAATGAATTTGTTATTTTTCAAGTTAATTCTGAAGAAAGTTTATAATTCATTTAAAACTCTGAAAATATTGTCTATTGCTCTTCAATTCAAACTCTGTAAAATGATATTCAGCTAAAACTTAAAAGAATCAATTTTTCTTACAACCTCATAATCTCTCTTTGATCAGTATGTAAATTCATGGCTCTGTCAAACTGTTGAATATATAACCTTGATTCGAAATCTAACCCTGTATTGAAAGCTAACCTTGAAGATTTTATTTTTCTTTGATCTGCTGGTATAAGTACAATATACACAGGCAATGCATGTCACCTCTAAACCAAATCTTTATTAATGAACAAATTGAAATGGTTTCTACTACTAGCATGTTTTAAGATGAAGCTTGTTCATTTAGACATGCTTGTCGGGTATTTTGTTTGAAATTCAAATCACAAGAATCTTGTGTACACGCAAATCCAATCTTAATTTATAAGAAAATGTTTGAGTCTGATGCTTATAGCAGAAAATAATCTCGATCCAATATCATTTACTTTCTTTTATGGTTCATAAATCTCCAAACAAAACACTTTCCAATAATGTAGTAATATTGAGAGAGTGAGTTTGATTGTGTGTCTATGAGGATTGTGTTTAGGGAAGAAATTGAATGATACTAGGGAATTTCATGTCTAGACCAATCGTGTAAACTTTACACTTAGTTTCTTCTCAATAAATTGGATGTTAAATACCATAAAGTTCACCAAGTCTCCTTTCATTTCAATTGACATTTTGAAAATACATGGTTGGTACCAAATGCTTTTATTGATCTTTTCTTTAAATTCCATTACATTCAATCTGAAAAAAGAGTGATGAGTTAATTTGCACTTTTGACATTTCTACAGACACAAATGGCAATTGGATTTCCAATATAAAGCTTGTTCTTTTTAATCTTATCAATGTTCATGTTTGCCGAATGAATATTATCAAGTCTTCTGTAAACTAGCTTCTATGGATAGTTTGAATTCATAGAATTGGATTGAGTAAATCTTTAGATCTTGGTTCAGTTTCTCAAAAACATGACTTTCTGTGATTTTAATATTCATGTTATCTGCTGATCAGACAATCACAAAAATTTATTTTTGATAAACATGCATTATCCAATCACTATTTATCTTCAATCTACTTAAGACCGACCAATCAAACTACTGTATTTGCTTTAGATTTTTATTCTGTCGTATTTAATTTTCTCAAATTTCTAGTCACACAATTAAGTATGGGGCGCTCGACTTTATGTACTGTTTCTTGATAAACCTGGGGCAAGGTGATAAAAAACATGCTTCTTTCAGTTTATCCATAAATTCTTCATAACTGAATTATTTTGACAAACATCAGACACAAAAAAAATATATGCAGATTTGAACTCTCAAATACAATTAGCCTATATTCACCAGACAAATGTATATTAACATGTCAGTATTTAATGGATGCCTAATGCCTTCAGTACTAAAACATGAAACCACAAATGGAAAGAAATATTAAAATGTTATAAATTCTAGATACAGTGGTAATGTTAAGGGAATATGATGTAAGATATCAATATGTTTTAATGTGTATTGAAATCTACAGAAAAAAATATTTATTACCAATTTTACAGCTTATACTGTTTCTTCATGGTGAATATATAGACTTATATTTGCATTTATTAACAATATGTTGATTCTTAATAACAATAATATAACATAAGAGGAAATAGGTTTTCTAGACTTAGATCACCTTCAATAAAAAGCAGACATTGAGAATGAGAATAATGACATTGTGATTATATATCTTTAGCTCGGTCAGGGAGTCTGGCAATTCAAAGTATCTCATGATGTTAAACCCTCTTTTCTAGAAATTGGTAGACTTGTAGGTACTGTTAGCAACTGAATGGTTACAGATTCTAACTTCTTAGGGTTGATTAGAAGATATGATTTTTGCTACAAAACTTAAACTTGAGCAACTAGCAGCAACTGTGAATTTTCAGTTGTCAATGGGTTGTGATAAATTTTCCCTCATTGTTCACTGTATTGTCTGTCTTTGTCAACATAAGATGTGTTTTAATAAGAGGACATATAATTGTTGTCATTTTGAAATGTGAAGGATTGTTTTTAAGAGAGAAGTGTCAGTAAAAATTGTTGTCTCCAGACAATAATCTCGCCTCCACCATACTAATAATTCTCAATAGTACAATCAATAATCTAAACCAAGCACAAGTACTATATAATTACCTTCTATCAATTCGGTCATTGTCCATAGCATTATTAGTCAATATTAACTATTGACATTACTAAATTCTATTAAACCAAATCTACATTTCCTGAAAATTAGTTTAGTGAATAAGAACTGATATTCTGAAAATGTGGAATTCTCAAATTTTATTGTGCCAGTGGCATTGTTCTCTTGTCATTGATAGACATTGATAGACATTGATGAGCACCATTAATAATAATTAGTGGTCTTAGTCCTGTAGGAATTGTACTTCATATTCTCATCTAGACACAGTTGAATTTTAAGAATGACATTTTCAAGAACTTATCTAGTAATAGTCTTTAAGTTATTCACTGATATTGTCCAATATCCAAGAGACCGGTTGTACTCAAAATAAGTAATCTTACAAACTGCAAACTTTCACAAACTTCAGCCTAAAAGTAATATTCTGTTCCTTGCCTAAAATATATATGAACTAACTAAAAACAAGTGACACAACATTATATAAGCCTAGTTGTATTGAAAGGTAGAATACAATTGAGTTTAACATGTTACATCTTGTATTGAAAGGTAGAATATAATTAAGTTTAATATTTTACATCTTGTATTAAAAGGCAGAACACAATTGAGTTTAACATGTTACATCTTGTATTGAAAGGATAAGTTTAACATGTTACATCTTGTATTGAAAGGCAGAATACAATTAAGTTTAACATGTTACATCTTGTATTGAAAGGATAAGTTTAACATGTTACATCTTGTATTGAAAGGCATAATACAATTAAGTTTAATATATTACATCTTGTATTGAAAGGCAGAATACAATTGAGTTTTAATATATTACATCTTGTATTGAAAGGCAGAATACAATTAAGTTTAACATGTCACATCTTGTATTGAAAGGTAGAATACTATTAAGTTTAATATATTACATCTTGTATTGAAAGGCAGAATACAATTGAGTTTTAATATATTACATCTTGTATTGAAAGGCAGAATACAATTGAGTTTAACATGTTACATCTTGTATTGAAAGGCAAAATACAATTAAGTTTAACATGTTACATCTTGTATTGAAAGGCAGAATACAATTGAGTTTTAATATATTACATCTTATATTGAAAGGTAGAATACAATTGAGTTTTAATATATTACATCTTGTATTGAAAGGATAAGTTTAACATGTTACATCTTGTATTGAAAGGCAGAATACAATTAAGTTTTAATATATTACATCTTGTATTGAAAGGCAGAATACAATTAAGTTTACTATGTTACATCTTGTATTGAAAGGCAGAATACAATTAAGTTTACTATGTTACATCTTGTATTGAAAGGCAGAATACAATTGAGTTTAACATGTTACATCTTGTATTGAAAGGCAGAATACAATTAAGTTTAACATGTTACATCTTGTATTGAAAGGCAAAACAAAATTGAGTTTTAATATATTACATCTTGTATTGAAAGGCAAAATACAATTAAGTTTAACATGTTACATCTTGTATTGTAAGGCAGAATACAATTGAGTTTTAATATATTACATCTTGTTTTGAAAGGCAGAATACAATTGAGTTTAACATGTCACATCTTGTATTGAAAGGTAGAATACAATTGAGTTTAACATGTTACATTTTGTATTGAAAGGCAAAATACAATTAAGTTTAACATGTTACATCTTGTATTGAAAGGTAGAATACAATTGAGTTTTAATGTATTACATCTTGTATTGAAAGGCAGAATACAATTGAGTTTTAATATATTACATCTTGTATTGAAAGGCAGAATACAATTGAGTTTTAATATATTACATCTTGTATTGAAAGGTAGAATACAATTGAGTTTTAATATATTACATCTTGTATTGAAAGGTAGAATACAATTGAGTTTTAATGTATTACATCTTGTATTGAAAGGCAGAATACAATTGAGTTTTAATATATTACATCTTGTATTGAAAGGCAGAATACAATTGAGTTTTAATATATTACATCTTGTATTGAAAGGTAGAATACAATTGAGTTTTAATATATTACATCTTGTATTGAAAGGCAGAATACAATTGAGTTTTAATATATTACATCTTCTATTGAAAGGTAGAATACAATTGAGTTTTAATATATTACATCTTGTATTGAAAGGTGGAATACGATTAAGTTTTGATATATTACATCTTGTATTGAAAGGCAGAATACAATTAAGTTTTGATATATTACATCTTGTATGGAAAGGCAGAAAACAATTGAGTTTTAATATATTACATCTTGTATTGAAAGGTAGAATACAATTGAGTTTTAATATATTACATCTTGTATTGAAAGGCAGAATACAATTAAGTTTACTATGTTACATCTTGTATTGAAAGGCAGAATACAATTAAGTTTACTATGTTACATCTTGTATTGAAAGGCAGAATACAATTGAGTTTAACATGTTACATCTTGTATTGAAAGGCAGAATACAATTAGGTTTTAATATATTACATCTTGTATTGAAAGGCAAAATACAATTAAGTTTAACATGTTACATCTTGTATTGAAAGGCAGAACACAATTGAGTTTAACATGTTACATCTTGTATTGAAAGGATAAGTTTAACATGTTACATCTTGTATTGAAAGGCATAATACAATTAAGTTTAACATGTTACATCTTGTATTGAAAGGCAAAATACAATTAAGTTTAACATGTTACATCTTGTATTGAAAGGCAAAATACAATTAAGTTTAACATGTTACATCTTGTATTGAAAGGCAGAATACAATTGTGTTTTAATATATTACATCTTGTATTGAAAGGTAGAATACAATTGAGTTTTAATATATTACATCTTATATTGAAAGGTAGAATACAATTGAGTTTTAATGTATTACATCTTGTATTGAAAGGCAGAATACAATTGAGTTTTAATATATTACATCTTCTATTGAAAGGTAGAATACAATTGAGTTTTAATATATTACATCTTGTATTGAAAGGTAGAATACAATTAAGTTTTAATATATTACATCTTGTATTGAAAGGCAGAATACAATGTAGTTTTAATATATTACATCTTGTATTGAAAGGTAGAATACAATTGAGTTTAACATGTTACATCTTGTATTGAAAGGCAGAATATAATTAAGTTTACTATGTTACATCTTGTATTGAAAGGCAGAATACAATTGAGTTTAACATGTTACATCTTGTATTGAAAGGTAGAATACAATTGAGTTTAACATGTTACATCTTGTATTGAAAGGCAGAATACAATTAAGTTTAACATGTTACATCTTGTATTGAAAGGTAGAATACAATTGAGTTTAACATGTTACATCTTGTATTGAAAGGCAGAATACAATTGAGTTTTAATATATTACATCTTATATTGAAAGGCAGAATACAATTGAGTTTTAATATATTACATCTTGTATTGCAGTGAAATATTCTATATTTAAGTCACCTGTACAGGTATAAAACAATACAGTAAATCATCATGAATACATGTGAAGGGGTTTTTAATAATGACATTTAAGAAAGAAGAAAGAAATCACTAATTATTCCATTCATGAAATATCAAAGTTCACAGCTCTTGGTGAAGCTTATTGTAAGACTCTTAGATAGCCGTGCCTTCTATTATTTTATAGAAATTGTTAAAACTGATTACTGGTTTTCTTATCGATTGCCTGCCTAATTCAATAAAAGAAAGCAATTCATGTTTACTTAACTAAATTGATCTTTTTCCACCATAATAAAAAATATTTCTAAGCTGGAGGCAAGTTTAACAATAGTTTTTTACGTCACGAAATTCTCTGACAGCTAGTAACAAATTCATTGAAGCTGATTTCATGCATACACAAGGATGTACATATAGCATGGCATCTTTTGACCTGTCTAGAAAAGAGTTTTGGGCAGTCACATCCTTTTGTATAATGTCAGTTTGACAAGAAAGGCAAAGTGGCATCTTTTTGATAACTATCATTAGGTTAGAATGACATATATTTGATAAGTCATTGGAGCCAAGTTTCATCTTTTTGGTTACTATCATTGGTGTCATGATGAGTCAAAGCTGTTCTATGAGGTCATGTTTTTGATTTATAGTCTGTGATGATTATGTTTTTTACTCTGTTTTTTTTTTTTAACCCAGTAAAGTAAAGGGTCTAGTGGTTTAGGGCTTAGAATTAATAGAGGCCCTGTGTGCTACAGTCTGTTCATGTTAAAGATTTCTGGATAGAAAAGGCTAATGCCACTGTCCAGGAAACATTACACTAATTGTGTTGCATTTTATATCTTTGTTAGTTCAATTGGTGTAAAAAAAAGCAGGACTTAAAATTCCATTTACATTGCAAGTAGAAAGTTTCTGAAAGGATCACAGACAAAATATATTTGTTAATTATATAAAAGTGTCATGTAGATAAAATATATCCCTCAGATTTAATTTTAGTCTGTTTTGTTTCAAAGTAATAATTTTCTCTAAATTGTCTTTTTCACTTAAAAAGTGGTTAATGAGGCTGTCTGAAGAAAATTTGAACTTTGGGTGAGAAATCGATAAGAAGGAGGTAAAAAAAGTGTCTTGAAACTGTAGAATTTATTTCCTTCAGGAAAAAAGAGTCTGCTGGTAAAGAATAGATCTGAAAAGATTAAGTGGTTGCTAGTAGTTTTTAGGCAGACGGATGCAAACGGTAGTAATTCAGGTCTTTATCGTTAATGATCTCTTATTCATATTTACTAAACAAACTATCATGATTGGACGTTTTCAATACCTAGCAGAAATCTGTGATGACTTTTAGATTTCGCGTTTAAGATAGACGTGCTTATGGCACATTCCGTTTTACTAATATTAAGTCTCCTAGATATAATAAGGTAATCATAGTTGCTTTATTTGATGATATTGTCGTTTGGAGAATGAAGGCAAACAAAGAAGAGGAATTGATCTCACCCGATTTCTCTTACTTAATAGATAATCACACATATCAAGTTTCAATACAGAAGGAACATAGGAAAAATTTTATACAGTGTCTTTTGAACAATGTTCTTAAGTTTGAATCGGAAATTAAGCTAATAAATCAAAGATAATTTCGAAGTCAAAAAGGTAATGATAATTGACAGTTAATTCCAAATATCCTTTGCAATATACAAAAAAAGATATGCACTTTAAGATAATTGTAAAAATTTTGAGTATAACGTATATTTGAAAGAAATCTAAGTTGTGGTAAGCAATAATAATCCGTAGAGAATTGGTTGGAAAAAAATCTCTTTTTGTGGTGAAATGTTAGATCTACAGGGAATAAATCTGTCAAACCACTCTCTTTTCTGTTATTATTAGTCTGTATTCAACATATAATACCAAGACTAATTTGATTTTATTCTTGAAACTTACACTGGTATTATATCCGTGTAGGATAATAACTACACAATACAGATTATTTTTCAAGAAGGCACAAGCCGTCTGCGAGAAAAAGCGATCTTTGAGCTAAAATAAAATTTTTGTCAAAAAAATACCTTAAATTGCATTTGCGGAGATATAGAGATATATAAAACAGGAATGATTGGTTGGTTTTCTCCTTGTGATTTGCTGTAACCACACAATGTATATATACATCTACAATCAAAATATAGCCTTTTAATACACCATGATTTCACCATGATTTCACTTACAAAACTTCTTATAAACATATATATCATTTAATTCAATCCATCATTCATCTATTCATTCATTCTGCTTTGCATACGCTTTCATACACACTTCTTTAGATACCATTCATTGATTCATTTATTCATTCATTCATTTCAGTTTAATAGCTTAATAATATTAAACAAATATTTATTTTTAATATCATCCCAATCTGCTATCTTTAACTTTTAAGCACACTAATTTTGTGTACAATTTTACGTTGTCAATATATAGATATGACAAGACATATTATTTTTGATTTAACAGCAAATCAAACCATAGTAATGGTGGTATTTTAAATGGAGTATTAAAAAGGTATTTTTGATATACTTGGTGGTTATAGTGTTAAATAGTGTACTGTATCAATTTATACTGGTATTGATTAAAATGAAATTTAGACTTCACTTTGAATCCTTTTTTTAACCCTAGAGTAATAGATGATACTTCATTCGTTAATTAAAAACAACATTTTTTCAATTCAAGTAAGTCAAGTATGATTTGCAGCATCACTAGGAACCTGAGTGTTTCTGGAATTAATTTGAGAAAATATTTCTAATATTTAAAAGTAAAATCGAATGAAATTTCATTTTAATTACTACCAGTGTAAATTGTTCTGAAGTTGTAATGTGGTGCTAGTATTTAACCCTACCCTTGGTTTTACTGATTAGAAAGTTTGAGGAATAGGCTTAATGCTTTTAGATGTTGGTCCCATTCTGTGTCATTGCTGTTTGTATGTTTCTCATGAATAAGCATGTTGTGAGCTTAGAGTATTGTTCAGCTGCTTTTAGATGTCTTTGCACTATAGCAAGTCCATCCTCATCCCAAAATTTGTCCCTTTGAAATGCTACAAACATGCCTGACAAGCCATATTTCTTTCATAAACTGTAAAGGATTCACAAGAGGTTCCCTTCGTTTGGGACACGTAAAGTGATATCTAAACCATCAACCTTTTTCCTGTCCTATTAAGGTTCATGTTATTCTACAAAAAAATTGGCATTTGTTATTACTAGTAACAGTATAAATATCTACTAATCATAAGCCCTCCAAAAACACACAAAAGCTATACAGACTCTTTTGAATTCTTCAGAATCCTATCAAAATTTTTTCAGACACTCTTTTTTAATCCAGTTATTGATTATATGCTTGATCATTGTTGATTCATGAGAAATAGACAATTAATTAACTGTGGGCTTAACCATGTGATTCTTTATTTATTGCTTCAAGTCATTCATTTAACCTGTGGTCATGTTCAATTATTTGTAACTGTAAAGCATAAAAGATTGAACGAAATTCCATCATGTTTATCATTCGATTCAACAAATTTTATTAGAAAATCTTTATATTTGTATAAAATGCATTCAGTGTAAAATTTCCTATTTGTGAATGTGAAAATTATGTGTAAGGAATATTATACAGAGATTGCATGAAATGGTTATGAAAGCAAAAAGTAGTTATTCATTGGAATGTAATTTAGATAAATATTATTTCCTGTGTATTTGCTGTGCTATTAGTTATGTAAACTATATTTGAATACAAACTGAAAGGAATTGCCATTTGATTTTCAAGTCTGCATGACATTAGATAATAAAAATAGAGTTTTAGCACTGCATTGAATGTGAATGGAAATATTATAAAAATATAGTATATATTGACAATTTACATAATATGATTACAGAAAGGCTTTTAGGGGTTGGCTCGGCTTGATTGGTTATAAACAACATCTCTTTTGATCTTTTGCTGTTATAACTGAGTAACTGTATCAACTATGATTCTTCAGTTATCGAAGCGTTCAGGTCAATGTCAGCACTTGTTAAAAATCAAAGTCACTGACTGTCAGATTCTGTGAGTGTTAAACTCAACCTGGTCCCCACTAAATAATGAAAATTTCTCCATTTAAAGACAATGTCAAATGGATACAGATCACAATCAGTGCATATATGAAATCAAATTGTAACGAATATCAAGTCAAATATAGCATTGACAGACCTTGAAATGTGATGACACATTAAATAAAAGTTGCCGCATTAAGACATCTGACATAAATGATTGTGATACTCACAGTAAAGCTAGTCGTTAAGTTCTTCTACCAGATAGAAATATTGATAAAGTTCCAGTTATCATATTATTACACCATTAGATTATTGCTATAGTGATTTATTGTAAATGTGTTGAATTGTAATGTCACAGTTCAGTTCAGTTAAGTTAGAAATTGAAATGGCAAATATACCATTAGCCTGTTGACAAGCATGTTGAAGAGCGACATTGGGTGTAAGGCTAGAATGATGAACTAACAGCATGAATGCTAATTCAAGCTTAAAATGGAGAGAGTTGGAATACTACATATTGGTATAGAGACTATTTAAACTGGAATTTCAATCCATATCTTTTCCAAAGCACTAAATGTGGCACCAGAGAAATTTAATTCTTGGCCTTGGAGGGTTAAGAAATAAGGACCTTCTCTGCCAACAATCCATCAGGCTATTAACTGAGCTGTTCTACTGCTTTAAGGTGACAGAGTTTTGAATATACATGTACAAAACCTGATTTCACAGAAACAAGTACAAGTGGAAATTCTGATGCTGTATTATGATTGTTATAGCTTGTTAGATTAGTTAGTAGGTTGTTTTATAATTAATGAGTAAACTTGTTATTGACCTCTATTTAATATTGTCTATCATATTGATCCATTACCTTTCAATATACAACATGACACACTTCCTTATTGTTTATAGTTAATAGCCACTGTGTATATAACTACAGTGCTATACAGTTTCTAATTAATAGGAATTTCTATAGCATTGGACATTAACCTTTCTAATGTAAAAGAATCAGAAGCTTTGACTATAGTTATCACAAAATAATGAATGCAAGTTAATGAATATATAATTGTGGGACTTTGCTTTCAGCAAAGTCCCAGTTTGTTATCGAAATGTCAATTCTTTTTTTTTTTTTTTTTTTTTTTTTTTTTTTTTTTTTTTTTCCGTTTCGTCCACACCTTCCTGAGCTTAGACTGCACTAGTTGCAGGTACGTTTCAAATTTCATAGACCTTCTATATAGGCAACGATGTGCATAAATATATATTGGAACATTTTTGCAAAACCGGAAGTGCCACAGTTCAACATGTGCAAAAAGTCGAAAATCGGCTCTAGAAGGCGTATTTTTGCATCAATTTTCTTCGGATTTTCATTTTTAAAATATACCTGTAATTTCTGACCTGATAGCACTTGAAAAATTACGAAATTCGAAAATTCGTCGCTCACTTTTTTCGATCAAATTTTTCAATTTTTTTGCAACTTTTTTGCTTTTGCATCGATTGATCTGAAATTTAATATGCAAAGGGACATCACCAAAACAAATAATATGTAGTTGTCAAATATTTAATTTTACTTCCGGTTTTAAACGGGGAATCAATTGAAAGTACAATCCACTTCCGGTCGAATAACTTCCGGTGTAATTGAAATAGGTCAACGAAATTTATGCTGATCGTAAGTAAATGCTAATACAAAAAAACGAAGAAAATAAAATCCAGACCGGAAGTGATACTTTGGCCGCCATATTGAAAAAACACACTTTTGTAAAACTCAAAATGGGGCCTCAGGGTAAATTTTGATATGCTCAAATTTGATGTGAATGTATTCTGCAATCGATTGCGCAAAAAACATTGGGAGCCGAATTTTGAATTTCGCTTTTGCTTTTTTGCAACTTCCGGTTGAAATTTTTTCATGATTTAAACGATCACACCATGTGACCTTGACCTTTGATGACCTTGACCTTCATAGGGTCAAAGGTCATTGACCTTGGCTATCATTTGATACTTTGACCTTTGACCTCCGACATGTACTTCCGGTTTTATAGCTATCCGTAAAAAGCCAAATTCACAAATTTGGACTGCTCTAGCACGTGACCTAATTAACCTAGAGGGTTAATTTTTTCGGTTTCCTAATGTGCTTCTCATGCACTTTACATACATATATGACAATCGTTATTTTAAAGCAAAATTGAAATTCGTGATTTTTTGAAATTTGAGTTTTTTTTTACAATATTTGCGTCTTTTTGAGCTTGGTATATGTATATCTTATGATCTATTTGATGTAGAACCTTGATATTTGGAATACAACTAGACACTTTGAATATGAATTCACCTATGACAAAAAAACTTATGTGGGCGTGGCACATCCGGGTTGAATTACTAATTGTTTACATTTAGAGGCAGGGGCATAACTCGCATAGGATGCGTTTGTTCAAAAAGGGACTTTGCACACAATTACCTCATCCTTTTGGCCAGTTTGTGTTAACAGCTCAGTTGTTTCAGCCTTATAGTTCCAAAAAAGGAACGGGTTTTAACATTTGGATTTTTTCATTTTTCGATTTTGACCTTTGTTGACGTTTGTTGACCTATATCTTTTGACCTATATTATGTAGGAGCTTTACATTTCGAACATAACGTAACATTCTGAATATCAATTAACCTATGCAAAAAAAATTGAAGTGGGCGTGGCACATCCGGGTTAAATTACTCATTATTGACATTTTTGGCCAGGGGCATAACTCGCAAAGTATACATTTGTTCAAAATGGAACTTTGCATACAATTACCTCATATATTGGGCCACTTTGTCTTAGAATTTCAATTGTTTTTGCTTCATAGTTCAAAAAAAGGAACAGGTTTTGGAATTTAAAAATTTTCAATGTTTGACCTTGACCTTTGTTGACCATGACCTTTCTAACATCAAACGTCATTGGCATTGGCTATCTATTTATACTTTTATATTTGCCGTCCTATGTCAACTTCCGGTTTTATAGTCGTTAGCAATTTGAAATTTTGATGGCGTATATCTCTTGATCTTGACCTTTTTAGACCTTCTCCTTTACAAGATCAAAGGTCATTGACCTTGGCTATCTGCTGATACTTTCATTTGTGAGGTCTGACGTCCACTTCCGGTATTACAATCTTCTAAAAAAATGAAAATTTCTCAACTTTAGACCGTTCTTGCGCTTGATCTAATTATCGTGGAAGGTTGATTTTTTCAGGTTCTTTTGCATTTTGCTACATTTGCAAAGTCCCACTCTGTGCCACGAGTGGCTCTAGTTTCTTTCTGTTTCTGAGAAATAAAAAAAAAAACAAAAACAAGCAACTTGGGTTCACCATTAAAGATCTGTTCTACCTGCTGGTATTTGGCAAAACCTTTTGGAAATTATCTCCCCCAGATTATCTGTACCCATTTACAGCAGGGTCAATGGAATTATGAGTGAAGATGACTTATTTAAGAACAACGGTCTTCTACATGGTGATCGAGATAAGAATCCACAACCGCCATTCATGCGCGGTAACTGAGCAAATAAGGTGATTGTAAAGAAACAACACTTTAACCAGCAGTGCTAAAGAAACTCAAAATATAGGAACTGCTCTGAAATTTGTGTTTTTATTAAAACCCTTCAGAAAGTTGAGCATATTCAAATGTTGGCAAAAGTAGGAGTGTGAGATTGCAGGAAAAATAAGGTCAACTTAATCTAGTGATTGATAAGATTCTCTCAGAGAGTGCCAGGTTCTAGCAGTGGTAAAATAGGTTGCTCTCAGATGTCTCTGTATGAAAGGTTGAACAGAGCTTCTCTTTATAACCTGATGTTAAAATACTGGTAATATCTACATAGGAGAATCATGATCAACCATAGGAACATACTCCAAACTACCTAGTTTCACTTTCGATCTTCTATTCTCAATGAAAATTAACATAAAAAATTCTGATTTTATCCACCATGTAGCCTAACTTTTGTAACCTATGCAACCCCATCGTTAGGATGGTGTCCGTGGGGCCCCAGCAAATGAGAATTAAGCCCCAGCAAAATCTTCCTCAGTTCAACAGAGATTTAGAATGTCTTTGTATAAAATCAAAAAGATATAGATTTTGATATGTTTTTGGCACCTTAAAATTGTCAGAAATGAGTTCTCTTGGCCTTCCTGGTGATGGGGCTGAACCTATTGTGTGATTATTGCCTTAAGTTGTAACATAAAACCATTTTGTTTAATATTCAAGTTTTTTTTGTTTTAACTATGTTTCATCCTCCTAAACAACCTCTGGAAAAACTAGCTATTTATAGATGTCAAACATGATCAATAACTGAATACTTCCTGTTGTGTTCACCTTTTTTTAGTAAGATTAAGAGCGCAATTAAAAGAAAAACCGTAATAAGTTCTGCCTTCAAGTTTTATTCTACTGATCAGGCATTGTTAAATATAGATTTTACTTTACAGTTTCATTTCTATATTTGGATCTTAAATAAATGATTTTATTGTGAATTAGTAAAGAAATCCATACTAATTCTGATATGAATTGAGCATTTAATAATAGATTTTTATTTTTATTGATTGCGTGTCTGAATTATATTTATTTTAGTTCCTTTCTTTTCTGTTGTCAATTTATTTTGATTTGATTGGACAGAAAAGGATGGTTTTTAGTGGTAGTGCTCATTTTATAAACAACAATCTTTTTTTAAAGAGAAATTTAAGGGCAATTAGCCCAAGCAAAATTAGAATCAGCAGAGTTGAATTCAAATCAAATATACAATATAAAACTATTCAAGTCATTATCCACAAATTATAGGTTGCTGAAGATAAGTTTTTTTTTGATATTCTTTTTCGGAAAAAACAACAGATATATATCTCTTATCTCTAATTTGCAGATGTAAGATGACTTTTTTTTGTGATTATTGATGTAATTTCTATGCCAAAGTTGTTGTCTTAATATATTTTATTTATCCTTTTATTTATGTCTGCAAATATTCTTGATTTTGACATGTGTACAACCTTTCCTTGATATAATCCAATTGTAAATAGTAATAGTAATTAGCTGATATTTAACCTTTTTTTTTGAAGGTTTGAGCGACCAGAAAGAAAAATGGTAACAGAACAAGTTCAACCAAACGCCACCAATCAAACTGCATTAAACCAACAACTTGGTCTACAGAAAGAATCTTATAATACAATGGGCATGACACGGGTAAGAAATTCTCAATTAATTTCAATATCATCAAAGAGTAGTTTATAGCCAGATTAAATGGATATTATTGATTTCGATCTCCACAACGACCAAGTCAAAGTAATGTTTTCAATCAGCCATATTGCCTTGTTTATTCAAGACCTCTTTTATGAAGTTGTTTGAGGACTGTATTAAACAATATTAAGATGATGTCAATTTGATAAGAGAATAAGACAGTTGTGTGGATTTTTAAACTAGTAGTATTGTGTCAGTAATCACTTGATACATTGTTAAGCTTATAACTGATAGATTTAGGTTAATGGGCTACTGTCCAATAAATTATTTAGTTTCTCTTCTGATCGAGGAAGTCCATTCTAAAAGAAATGTTTTGCTTAATTTAGTTTAAAAGAAGAAAGTTTAGTCCAAGAAAGTTCTTTTTATCAATGAAAAGAGAATAGATAGAAGAGATGTTTAAAGAGAAGCATTGGAGAAAACATCTTTCAGTACCGAATCAATTCAATAAACTTTGGTCAATACAAGATATTATAACTAATGACATTGACCTTAAACTTAAACTAATAAGAAAATATAATTTGATTACTGGGATCCAAACTGAAGCCCTTGATGGTTTCATAATGAAAAAAGTGGGATATTGTCATCTACCATACAAAATTTTCCCTTTTTAAACACTTCATTGCTTTCAATTAGCCACATATGGTGCAGGTACACAGTCACATATCAAAAAAGGTTTTAAAGATGGTTTCTTGATACTGTGGAAACCATAAAATGAGTGTGTCATGCTGAAACATTTAGAAAAAATTAACTCATTGGTTCAGTTACCCACTATTTTGAGGATGTATATATTTGTGGTCTTTTATGGTTATTATTACTCTTTTAAATAGAGACACAAAATTCATTTTCATCTTTAAAGAGTTCACTCTGATATGAAAATAAAGAATAGTTTCTGATAAAAAGGCAACCACTCGAGCATTTCACAATTGTTTAAGTTAACTATATGATGGGATCACACCCAATGGTTATAAACATGTTTATACTATGGGGGATGCTTGTAGTTAACCATTCACATTTCAAAAATAAGTTTCTAAAAGTAGAATTACCCACAGTGAAACAAGGAAACAAGCTCGTTTTGTTTTCTGCATGTTGTTTCAGACCTATTTACTATGCATGCCTTTTTTCTTGTTAAAACACATTTGGTTGAGGATTGAGATACACATTTGTGAAATGAGAAATAGAAAATGGTTTGTTGATTTCTCTTAAATTAGGGTTTTTTTTACTAACGATTTGTTAAGAACTAACTAGTATAATCTTCTCGAGTTTCTCATTGATCTTCACCAAATTTGAAAAGAAAAGAGAGGAAAATAAATATCAGAAGAATTTAGTTTTTCATTTCAGTTTGGTTTTTATCTAAGGCTTATATTCAACAGGAACCTTAAAGGGATTGTAGAGGTTTTGAACCATTCCGATTTTCAATCAGATGTCTATGGTTCCTGCAATTTCATTAAAACTAAGTGTTTGATGACATCACTAATCTCAAAGGTTTATGTGATACAAGCATATTATTTGCAATTAATAACATAATCAAACACTTAGTTTGAGTGAAATTTTAAAGGAACCACAAAAATTAAGAAAACCTCTTTACAGTCCCTTTAAAGTTCTGCTTTGCTGGTAAAACAGTATGGTTTTAGTAGTAAGTCTAGTGAAAACAGGCTGAAATTGTCTTAAGTGAAAAGAATTGTCGTAGGTTTTAATCAGATTAAAAATTGAAATAACTATAAATAAATCCATTGTAACCTGTTTTTGGAATGATTGGGATCTCATCTCTATAACAAGATATATATATAGAAATATTTTATATAAGATTAATATCAATTATGAACACCTGGACACAAAGTGATATGAATTTTTTAATAAAAAGTTATTGATAATCAATATCAGAATTATGAAAAAAATTCTGGGATGCATAAAACATGATACCACGTCATATAGATAGTCAAGTATAAATATAACCACATATTATTTTCAGTGTTTTTTCTCACCTAACTTGGTAAGTTTATATTATATAAAATGAAAGTGTAAACCATGGACACTCTTATATAAGCTGTATCTTGAATACTTGAAGTATCATTTTTTATGTGAAGACTCAATATATTTGTTTTTTTCCAGGGTTTGAGTTTAAGCAGTCAAAGTCGCTCAGCTTCAGAAGAGGAAGAGTCATCTAGTGTTTGGAAAAATGTGAAAAGTATTGCAACATTATTAATGGATGAACCCCCTCCAGAACCAACAACTGGACCAATAGTGGATGGGGTGGACTTTAAACTGGGAAAAATTCAATTTGGACTCTCATATGACTTTCAATCATTAACATTATCTTTAAGAATTCTTCGTGCTACTGGTTTACCAGCTAAAGATGTAACCGGAACAAGTGATCCTTATGTTAAAATAGTTCTCTTACCAGACAAAAAACATAAATTATTAACTAAAGTAAAGAAGAGAAATTTAAATCCACATTGGAATGAGTGCTTTTTATTTGAAGGTAATTAAGATTTGAATTTTATTAGTTAAAACATTCCCTTCCTGGCAGAAAAGTAGGATGTTAATCTATATTTAGTAATTTTTTGAAAAACAAGAAGCTAGACATTAGAACAGATGAAAAATTGATTTTATGTCATGCATTATAAAATAAGAGTTTGATTAACACTGTTGTTATGGTAAAATCATCTTGAACACTTCCTTGCATACATCTAATAAATGCACTGCTGTATATTCTGTTTTTAGTCTTAATAAAAAAGACAATACTTTGGCAATATTTTCTCAATAGATTTTACTCTTGTCATCATGAATTTTTCTTCACTTAGAGTGTAATAGTCTGTAATCATATCATATGTCATGATGACAAAATTCTTTCTGTGCCTATTTCCCATCTTACTTGATCTAAACTTTAACTTATGTTTTGAGGAATCATGAATGCCAGCCAGTTTGGGTTTATTTTCACTCGAAATACGACCAGAAATAGTTATCTAGAAAGCTTAAAAGCATTGTCTAAATGCATCAATCATATGTTTCTTGAGACTTTTCTACTGAAAGTATCTTTTTGTTTAAATAAATTGCAATTAAATTTTACACATTTTCTTTTGTAATTTTGTTATTTTTTTTATTTACATTGAAATTTCTGGACCATCACTTTTTTTGATAAATTATAAAACACAATACTTTGTTAGCAGATGTCATAAAATTTTCAAGAAATAGAAACATGTTTGTATTCATTGAACTGTATAATATTAACTTATATTTCAGGTTGGCCCCACAACAAGTTATTAGAGAAAACATTATATCTACAAGTTATAGATTATGATAGGTTCAGTAGAGATGATCCTATCGGAGAGACATATGTACCACTCAATGAAATAGATTTATCTCAATCTCCTACATTCTGGAAGTATCTACAACCTTGTAAAGATTCTAGGGTATGATTTATCTACACTATTTATTAAGGGGAGGCTACTCTATGTGATCGTAACAGATCAAAATTGATTTTTGGATTTGCTAATCTTGATATTTAATGTATCATAGAAAATAAGGGCCATTCAGTGCGGAATACCGCAAAATTTCTCTTAAGTTTATCATTATTGGAACTAAAAATATTATATTGATGTCGGTAGATAAAAAGTTAAAATCATAAAGTGGTAGGCTACATACTGTATATTTCCGAATATAATGCGCAAGCATGTATAATGTGCAACCCTTATTATCCCCCAGTATATCTGGGAAAAATCTGTCACCAAAAATAATGCCCACCCTATCCTGACAAAAAAAACAAGATGGCATAGTCTGAGGAAGACACCATAATAGTGAGCGGTAATATATCGCAAGAGTAGAGTAGCGCCAAATATTCTGGGCTGGTTTTGTGTTCAATAATTTCTGAGAGGAACAGAAGAATCCTGTTTTTGTAATATTTACTGTTATTATATTTGTAGGGTAAATTAGGAGAGTTGTTATTGTCGTTATGTTATCAACCTAATATAGGAAGATTATCTGTTATTGTTATGAAAGCCAAGGAATTGAAAGCCAAAGATATAACTGGAACTTCAGGTTTGTGCTGAAAATTATTTTTTTGAATTACGAATGATTCAGACACATGTTTGCTAGCATACTGTCACTGAAATACATTATGTTTGTGGTCTCTTGTATGTGTCAGTCAAAGTCAGGTCATTCAGATCAGTTGGGACAATGAATCTATGCCCTGTATCCTATGCCTTGCATTTTCTCAGACCTTTGCTTTCTGAGTTACAATCCAAAACTTTAAACTCTTGCCTAGTTTTGAATAGGCATTAATTGACAACATGTGCAGTGCCAGAAAACTTTTTCTTAAAGATACAACATATTGCAATTTCTTCTTTAACATCATTTATCTTGCCTGAAAAATTTATCTTACATCTTTTAAATCTTGTTTGTCATTGTACTAGCACGTCTCAACTTATCACTAAATTAGTATTGTGCATGAAATATATGTGATTATTTACAGGGCTTTGTACCAGAAAGTTTGAATCATCTGGTATGTCTTGTGGGCATGGAAATTTTACTTTTATTTTCTTCTGAGCAGGAAGCTTGGAAACTGTTTGAGTTTCATTGTTTTTATTTTATTCATTTGTTTTTTTTTTCATTTCGAACAAAGAGCTTGTAAATGTTAGTTCTGGTGTTTTGCCCGTAATTATTGTTGGTATTGTAAATGGCCTCAAGTGTAATTAAAATTTGTAGTTCTATTTGTGAATACATGGTAGCTATTTCATAATTTCATCATTTGTATCATACTGTATATTATTTACTATCATCAAAAAATTTCTTTTTCATGATATATTCTCATCTTGTGAAAATTTTACTATATTTTCTGTTCATATAAATTCATTTGTTTTTTGCACAAGTTTCATCGTCTTTCATTTTTCTTACTTAAACTTGAATGACTAATTTATATGATATCGTTACAGATCCCTATGTGAAAATCTGGCTATCATTTGGTAACACAAGAGTTGAAAAGAAGAAAACCACCATAAAGAAGAGAACCCTAAACCCTGTTTTTAATGAATCATTTATATTTGACATACCATGGGAGAAGCTCCGTGAAGCTTCTCTTGAAGTGACTGTAATGGACTTTGACAAAGTGGGACGGAATGAACTAATTGGAAAAATTATTTTAGGTGGTAGAAGTGGTCCCATGGAAACCAGACATTGGAATGACATGGTTCAAAAACCACGACAACAAGTTGCTCAGTGGCATTTATTAAAAGATTGATAATGTAATCTTGGTGTGGTATATTTATAGTGAAATCAAAATATTTATTTTTATGCCAACTGGAATGGAGGATGTCTTCTTCTGTGGGAAATACAAGGTCTGTTTAAGCTGAGATAACCTCGAAGACTTCAGATCTGTGTTTTAGATTATGGTGCTGCCAAAAACAATGGAACAAGTAGAGTTAGGAATAAATTTACCGATCAAAGTATCAACTTCAGGAATGCCAAAAAATAAAGGCATAAATCTTAATGGCGACGGCTGCTGGTCAAACAATTTATTGTGGATGAAATAAACATTTGGGGAACTTTGGATCAGACTTGTTACTATTTAAAAGATACAAATTATATGGAAGTGTATACTGACTGTAAATATGTTATTGTTATTGAGAGAAACTGTTTATTCTGTGAAGCTTTAACAGCTAAATTTGTTGATTTATTTGAGAACATCTGAACTTTGTGTAAATATCAGTGTTATGTTAAACCTTTCTGTTGTTTGGTCAGTTTGTTAATCATTTTGCTGGCAAGATATTGATAGTCTCATCTCTGATCTCCTTTTACAATACCATTAAAGGTACATGTATATGGTCTCTAGGGCTCTGACCTCAAAATCCCATTCCATAAAAAATTTGATGGCCATTTGTTTTGTTGTGTTTTTATCATTCCAGATACAATGTATGTTATATAGATTTATGCTTCTATATCTAATCTTATTTGTAGCCTGTATCATAATTGTAGGAAGTAGTCAAAGAAATTCGGTGGGAGTAGTGTAAAAGTTACTTCCCCTTAATTTGCCTTTATAATGCCTAAAGTGTCACAATTAGGTTTGTTAGAAAACATGAAAGCATCTTTTACTTAATGCAACATTTTATCAGTACTCAATAGTATTATCAAGGAGAAGTAAAAACTATCTTCCATTGATATGACTATTTAATGCCTTAGTGTCACAAGCTCCATATATTAGAATCTCTAATGATGTACCATAATAATGTATTTATTTACAAACCTGTGATTTTAACAAATAATTTATAAAAATATTGTATATATATATATATATATATAAAGAAATGTCAAAAAACAAGGGTTCCATAAATTTCATATTGGTTTCAGAACTTCAATATTTCTGTATGTTAATTTTAACCTGAAATGCTTTGAAGGTCACAGGTCTATTATTTTACTGTTTATTTTGAGCAATTAGTATTTTTATTTATTATTATTTTTTTTGTTTTTATTTTACATTTTGTTTCACTTATGAAAGCAAAAATTTATATTATCATTGAAGAGCTTATTTTTCTTTGTTTCAATAAGTAATTTTTCCTTGAATTCAGGACAATGATTTATCTAGCCAATATCAGGAAATAGAAAATAAAAACACTTGGTCTATCCTCTGCACAGTTTTTTTTTTCTATGGACATAGGTTTTGAATCAATTATCTTATTTTCATTCTTCATCTCTTCTCCTAAAAATAATGTGAAGACATGATGTATGATGTACAAGTGCATAATGATTTAACCTTGTCAATGCCGAAACCACTAATTTTTTTAAAGGAAGAAATACATGAAAATTTTATTTTCTTTTCCTGAAATAAGCCGAACAAAGACATATATGAAACAACGGTTTAGTTTTAATATTTAAATATTTAACCAAATTTTATAATTACAGCATTGAAATGTCAAGCATAATAAACTTTTCAGTAACGTGCATAATAATTTTCTATTATTTATTAAAGCAATATAATTGATATTGTTTGTTATGATGTAATCAATTGTATTTGTTGTAATCAATCTATTGTTAAGATGTAATCATTATAAAATTGTTAATAATCCAGGATATATTTTACATCAAAATGACTCATTAAACTAAGTCAAGACAATGTGGGTTCTTTCTGAATTAAATAAGTTATTCTCAAACCATGACATCTTTGACATGGAGCATCATGACTGTAACATAATCCTAAAAGTTGAGCATTAAGAACATTGATTTGACGATGTTAATAATGCTCAGGTTTATAGTCCAGCAAAGATTTCTGTTCATCTGGGACTGATTCACAACATAGTCCACTATTTCTATAGGTAGTCTGAGTGGTCAGCTTGTGTTTATGTTTTGAATAGGACCCAGCTGACAAGAAATATCTTGATTATACATGACTATCATATATTTTATCATTATTCCAAATTACATCAAGGTTCACAATGCTCATATTATGAAATATTCCCAAATGTGTATAAATATCTTGGCCTCTACCTCTCTTAAATCAATCAACACAATCAACTTAAGATGATAAAATGAATTTATTTCTGAAAAATATCCAAATTACAATCAGAAATATACATAAATCCCTTCAGATGTTCATGGAAAATATGATTTTAGTAAGGCTAACTTTCCATAGTACATGAGGTGGGAGGAATTTAATCAAATGTGTGATGTATATTTTTTTGGTAAATTGGTATTAATTAATCCTTGTCACACCAAGTGTTTTGATTATGAGAGAAGCTAGGCCACAATGGGCCCCAAAAGATGCCATATACCCAATAGTTTACAAAAAACATGTAAGGTTAGAATAGGAGTTATATACAAATAATAGAAATATATTTACAAAATTAACATTATATAATCCCCATATTTCCCTTTCATTAATCAGATAATCACATTTATTTTAAATGAATATGAACATTTATTTATTCATTGCATAAATAACTTGACTGCCAATTCTATATTTTACCTAATAAATTCTAAGTTTTCATTTAGCAATAGTTTAAAGTAAGGCATACCCATATCATCTTGTATGAACACTTATGGCTTAGATCAGCCTCACTGATGTGTAAATCATGTTTGAAGTATTAATGCCTATATTAAATATTATCCCAATGATTTTTATAACCCAACTTAAATAATGTACCGGGTATGTAAATAATAAAATGAAGGTTGCTTATATTTACACTATGATATACATTTACAATTTATAAATAATTTACATGTCAAATCATATTTTGTTGAGCTTGCCACCTGCCATCATTCTATACCATGGAGCACAGTATACTGCTTATTGATTATGAAGATACAGAATATATTTGTAATATATTTTTGAAGTGCATAAGATGTTAAATTTCATTATCTGATATAGAACAAGAATAACATTAACCCACAAAAAGCTGGCATTAGCTTGGTATAAGAGCAGTTCAACAAAATATAATTTCATCCTCAGCTAAAATGAATAAACAGTTTTCATCATAACCATTCACATAATTTCTTTAAATAAAACTTAAAAGTTAACAAGTACTGATTTACATCAACAAGTACTGATTTATGTTAACAAGAAAAGTGCTTGTTTACTTCAAGTTCTGATTTCCCCGACAGTATCCTTTATAAAGGGAAATAACTATAATTTCTCAAAAAATATCTTATGGAAAAATATTCATCCAAAGTTATAATGATGGGACTAATTTATATCATTTTTTTTAAAATTTATATTATATTTAATCCAATTAATGACAATTTCAAAACTTATTTTCATAGAATTAAATGTGAGACAAAACTGTTGTGTCTGGTAGCTTACAGGAAACAGGAACACTGTATATTGGAACATTGATAAAAGAGTTACTTCAAACCAGTAATGTGACATACTTTACTAGGAAGAATAATTGAAAAATGCGTTTTTTCTATACCAGTAGATACTTGTTAACTTCCATATTTATCCTGAAATAAAAATATCAATATTTATACACAAACATAACAGTTTCCATTTAAAACTCTATTACCTACATGATCTATATATAGATTTGTTATAATTTCCAGCAGAATCAGAATGTCTTCCCTACCACAAAAAAAAACAATGCTTCCAATGTTAATGACAAAATCTTTAATATCTATTCTATTAAATGATACAGATAGCTTTAATTGGTAGAGCAAATATAAACAGTTATATCCCTTTAAATTATTTCTTTCTCTACAATAAGAGAAAAGATCATCTATCATCTGAGATTTTTTTTCACTCAAAAATTTATTTATTTGAGCAAATGAAAGCATTTTAGGGATGCTTAAACAATGTGATATCTGCCTGTCATCTATAAATTCAAAAGGCCAATAAGAAAACAACAAACTTCTGACACACAAAAAAGCAAAATATTTTCATGCTCAAGCTGAAGAAGTAAAAAGCCCAGACATAACTTGAATAAGTAAAAGCCCTATTCAAATGTAATCCTATATTGCATGAAAATGTATGTCTGGCCTCAATTAACAAAATAAGCTGAAAAAAGCAGGCTGTGTCAATAAAGGTTTGTAAGTAAAATTCATATGAATGAGAATCTTTAGCAAAAAGACCATGCATTGTGTAAATAGAGCACAAATATTTATATATTAAGTATTAAGTGCATGCACTGATTAATTTCTTTTCTTCCAATGTTGGGCGGGGTTGACATTTGACAACTATATATGTTCTTAGTGCACAGTCTACTATAATAATATATTCATTATTTTCAATGTCATTGTTTTTCCCCCATAAATAGCATTATTTGGAGGCTATGATATAAATAAGCAAGTAAGTATCATACAATTATAGCTGGTTCTTGTTTCAACCCAATGAGGCTATAGGACATCAAACAAACAGTATCCCTATATGTATGAATAGACTTGAAAACTTCAAAAGCAAAACGTATTCACAAAAAAAACCTACATAAAAGGTTTGAAACCACCTAAAAGCCAGACATTGAGCATATTAAAACTGATTGAATTTTACCGAGTTGATGTCAATTTCATCTCTAAAATTTCAGTCATGTTTCAAAACGACTGTCTATTCAGTGGCGACATCAGTTTGGGTACAGGGAGGGGCATTTGCCCCCCTAGGAAAACGGTTTGTATCCCCAGTCTTGGGAGGCTGGCACCGCCACTGTGTCTATTCCTGAACAAAAGCCCTGCTGAGTATCTAGCTTGCATCTGATTTGACCACGAGATTCACCACCAAAGCACCACGACACAAAATATAATGTGTAAGATTGTGGTTTACCTTCACCACTGTGGTAATAAGTAATAATTGGTAGGTCTATTTTCTCTGTGTGAAAATAAAAAATATAATAAAAAAAAATAGTACATAGGGTTAGTATATATACGTATTTTAACTAGCACACTAATATTATATATATATAAGTCCAGTAAGAATATTTTCAATAGATTGTATAGAGGTTTTTTTTATCATAGAAACTGTAGTCCAAATCAAATTCAATTAAGGCTACATAGTCACTCACAAAAACTTGTTAACAAGAATCATGTAATGTTAAGATAAAGCATGGTCATTTAGAAAAGTGTAAATAGGCCCAAGATCTTCTAAATCTCAAAATTCTTTGAAAAAACCTCTTTACAATTATAATGTCATTAGGAGTGAATGAAAATATTGTGGCGTATTCAGATCGATGCGACTTTTATAACCATAAACTTTTTTTGGCATATAAAAAAAATTTACCAAAATGATAAGATTTCAAATCCAGAAACAAGTACTAACATCTTATCTAATTATCAACAGATATATTCTTAAACAAATTGATCATCCAGAGCACAATATTTTCAATAAAATGAGGATGAAAAAAAGCAAATTATATATATGATTGTATATGGTTAATATGGAAAATGAAATTAAAGTATAATGTATATTAAACGACAATAAAGTTATAGAAATTACTAGTGGTTTTAGACAAAAACAGTCAAAAATAACACATTAAACACATCATGAAAAATATTCTGATATAGCTGGCAGTAAAAGAACACAAAATCTATATTGAACACAAGAAAAGAATTCACTAAAAAAAGGTTAAAGGTCATGTTTGAATTGAATTTTGAATATGGAGTCTTAGCAATTTGTTCCTGAACTTCTTAGTCAAGATGTTAACTAAATACAGAAGAAATCAAAAGGAAAGGTTCTGTTTGTGAATTAATCTTATCTATAATAGACAATAAGTTATATCATTTAATCTTTAATTTTGCGATATACATGTATATCTTTAGCACTTGTATTTTGATATGTTTCTAATTTGATTAGCAATACCCAGCGCAACTTAGAGATGGATTGCCTTATTTGCATTTATTCATATATATCGGGTGGCACAGAAAAAACCATAACAGTTTTTATTTAAGGATTAATCCTTAAATATGTAAGTTAAGATAATATTTTGACTTTATCTTAACTATAGATATACAACACACCTTTTAACAAAAAATAGATTTATACTGAAATGAAAACTATTATCGTTTTTTCTGCACAAACTCCATATATGTTCGATTAAGAACAGCTAATACTTATATTAATTGAAACTTGTGGTGTTCTAATGATTGGGAAAATATCTCATGAATCCCTAAATAACTCTGCATGAGCAGAACCCCAAATTAAATTCATTCAAACATGCCTTATTTCAGCAAAACATAGCGGTCGGTATACCTTTATTTATTAAATAAAACCTGCTAACTTCACATATCCTGTAAGACAATTTAATGAAGACAATATAACATGCATATATAATATATATAGTGCAAAAAGTTGTGTATTGACAGAGTTTACCATCATAATTTAATCAAAATTGGTCAAACATTTGAAGCGTTTCACCAACATAGTGACAAAGTTTTTCAAAGATTTTCATATTATCCAAGATGTTGAAGCTTTTTACCATCAATATGATATCAAAGTTTATAAACCATAGTGAGGCTTTTTACCATCAATATGATATCAAAGTTTATAAACCATAGTGAGGCTTTTTACCATCAATATGATATCAAAGTTTGTCAAATATGTAAAAGCTTTTTACCAGTGTAATGTAATCAAAGTTTTTCACACATATTAATTGCCTATTCTATCATCATAATATCAAAGTTTATCAACCATAGTGAGGCTTGTTACCATCATAATAATATCAAAGTTTGTCAATCATGGACAGGCTTTTAACCAGAATGATATCAAAGTTTGTCAATCATGTATTTACCATGATAATGTTATCAAAGTAAGTCAAACATTACAAAGAGATTTCTATCATCATTTTATCAAAGTTTGTCAATTATGTATGTCAATTTCTTATCAGAACCTAATTTTTTTAACACACTGCTTTCTATCCTCCTAGACATAAGAAATTTTTAGGAAGGTTTCATTGTGACAATAATAAAGGTTATCCATGCATATAGTGGGTGGGATGTGTAAACCCAGATATACAAAACAACAGAGAAATGGAGATGACTGTTCTGGTGTTAAAACAGCAAAGTGAATATGTTTGTGATAAAAGTTACCCATACAGATTCAAGAGAATGTTTCCTATACTAAAATAACTCTGAAATAACTTCAAACTAAGAACTAGCATTACCAGGTTGAAACAGTTTGAATAGCATTATTACTCTACTCTGTTTCATCAAAAGAAAATTTTTTTGAACAATGAATATGTTTTTTAGTTTTCAAAACTAAGTAGTTGTGGAGATGGTACTAATAGGAAATGTGATTTTGAATAGGAAACACTCTCTTAAAAATGTTACACCTACTTATGTTGATTTTTAAAATGTGATATGAAACTAGAAATATAGGTATAGGTAGCTTATCCCTCAAATATATCAAATACAAAGAGAAACAAACCTGTAGCGAAGACATTACACCATTAGCTAAACTAGATAATTTGCCAGCTACTTTTGTGACACCTTCGCGCACTCCATCTTTAATATCTTGTAAATCTGGCGTGTTGTCATAATTACTGCGGGATTGTCGTGATCTACTGTTTCCACCATTAAAAAAATCATCACTAGATATACTAGATTTACCTTCTAATCTAGTTAATGTTTGTCTAGTTTCAAACTGAAAAAAAGTAAAAAAAATAAATGTGATACATACTAACAATAGATAGATCATAGTTTTTATTAAACAGTTCAGTAATCAAGTAAATTAATATCAATGCACCCATTTTAAACTAGAAGATTTTGTAAACATGAAGTAAGCACTTTCAAAGCACTCTTTATAACTCAAGATGAAATAGAATACTTGAATTACTTTTGAAATCCTTTTTTTAACACCTTGACTGAAACAAAATGGCAGCAATGGTAATCAAAAAATTGAGACAAAATTTTGAGAAAACTTTTCTATGTTGTGTTTTGGGATGTTTTTGAGTGTTTGAGCATCATAACTATACTTACATCAGTATCTCTAGTACCAAACATCATGTCAGATGATATAGCCTTAGCATTAGCAAATTTACTCACAGCTTCACCAGAATTACTTGAATTATCATTTTCATAGTTTTTACGACTGCGACTAGGTCTACAAATACATGAGAATAAAACAAAATGAGTTAGCATTCATTTTACATGAACAATATACAAATATAAACCTACACTACTCAGTAACAATAGTTATTATGGTCTGTCATAACAATATTATTCAAGTTTGCTTTTGATTACTCCCTCTAAAATAAGGTATCCAAAAATAAACTTTGCAGTAATTATAATGATGTATTACTAAATAAATTTTGTAAAAAACTGTAAATATATGCAATTCAAAATATTTAGGACCCAACCCATTTTCTAATCCAATCACCATTGGCTTAATGTATTAAGTGGCTCACTTAATTGTTAAGAATTCACAATCATGTGACATTTTGACTGGCAGCTAGCATTAGGTTGTAAGTCATTTGAGTCCCTCTGCCAACTTCTTAACCACTAAAATTTTACTTCATATGATTTGACAGATCTATTTCATGGCAAATAAGACTGGGAAAATTAAAACACACCACACAAATAATATAGAGAACACAAAACATAGAGGACATTAACAAAACCATCACCTATTAAATACAGCTTTTATTTCAACTACATTTACTTTTTAATCCTCAAGTTTTTAATCAAAGGGAAACACCTATTTTTTATTTTTGACAAAACAATTAAATACAATATTGACAAAACATTAAGGAACAACAACAATTACTGGTTAAAGTTTTACGTTTAGCTATGACAGCTTTCCCCGACTTCCTAAAGCTGTTAAATAAGTTTACCCAATTATGTTCCAAAATGTTGTGTCAATGATTGATTATCATAATTACCACATGCTATGAATTTCTTAGCTCAAATAATTTGAGAATACAAGTTATCTGATTGATCAATGACTTTTTCTTCAAATATATTTTTTTTAACAGTATTAGGTAATTTTGGATAAATTGTTATCTAGTATGAAATGATTGTTTTGTCAAAGAAATGTTGGAAACTATAAGTGTTGATAAGGGACTGTGTGCTGTAAATTGTTAGGAATGCCACTAAACAAACCTGTCATCATTATCTGGTTCCTCCTCGATATCACTGCTAGTAAAATATACATAGTTCATATCTTAAGGTGAACATATACATACAACTGACATCACGTTGTTTACAGAGAAAAAACCACCAATATACAGAAAATATAAACTCTTAAGAAGCATGCAATATATACCAGTATAGTGTAGATCATTTTCAAATTTTGTCTCATAAGCTGACATGATTTCCGTAACTAGATTACTCAAAGTATTTTTTCAAACTTATTCGAATGAGTCCAAGTATCACAAAACCATAAACAACTAGTTAGTCATATCATTTGTTTTTGTATCGTTGGAATTCAGAATTTTATGTTTTTCACTTAATATAATGACAACTACTCACCTATCATTATCTTTAGATAAGATACTTTCAGATTTACTATCATTTTTACTATCAAATCTATCAATATCCCATGATCCCGCTTTATTCTGATTGCCCCAACTACTATAATCATCTTTTTTCATACCATAGAAATCATTGTTACTATTATTATTACCAAACCTAATCAAATAGTATATCACATGTTATAATTCAACACAAAACAATAACACTGTAAATAAATACTGTTTAGTCAAAATATTTATGCAGATTTGGGGACAATTTAAAATCAAAACATAGGCATATAAAAACCATTAACCAAAATGTTTTTTCATAATAGTTGAATTTACTTCTGTAAATAATTCTCCCTTACCTTGAACTACTGGAAAAACCTAAATTTTCAAATTCATCTTCAAAAAAATCTCTGTTACGACTTGATTTGGAGCCTCGGTCATATCTATTACCTTTATCAGGACTGGTTTGTTCTATTGTCTGCATATCAGATATAGCTGAATGACTCATACCTCTACAAAATAAATATCAACCTGATCAAAATCCACCATTTGTGATTGTACTAAGGTTGGCTTTTAACTTTTAAGGTCCACTAATCCACACATAAGCTGACCTCTACAGAAAAACATAAGTTCAGTAAAAAGCAGACGGACATAATGTCTCATTACTGAGAATTTTATAAACTTGTTTGTACCTGCTGCCAGCATAACCCATACCCAATCTTTCAAACTGTTCAGCTTTCTTCGGATCTTCTGCTTTTAATTTGGCCTCCTGTTTCTGTCTTTGAGCATCCATACTTTTGTATGCTAATTTCATGGAAGCCCTAAAAACAAAAGTAATAATGCATCAAGGACCAATTAAAAACAAAACAATAGGTGAACTCTTATGATTTGAATTTTGGAGTAATTGGCTAAACTAAAAAGCAACTATGACTTAATTTATTTGACTGAAAAATGGAATGCTCAAGTGTATTCAATGTATTAGGCCTATACTTTTCATATACACTTCTGTGCATTCTGGCATTCCTCTAAGTTTTTGCAATAGCTAAGATTATCTTGACATTTCCTAATAAACAATAACAACAAACTCCTAAAATCTTATCTCATCTAAATCATAAAAATGGACACTTACATCTGTTTTTCTTGATCCTCTATTGTTTTAGCCTCTTGTATAGCTATATTTTTATTGAGTTCTTCCCTTTCTTTATCTAATTGGTTAGCTCTACTTTCTATATCATTAAAATTTGTTTTTACTTTCTGAGCTCCAAACCCTTTCTGTAAGACACAAAAGACAGAATAATTGTAAAGAGTGGAAGGAAAGGGAACACTACAGAAAGGTTGATTGTATTCTTATAAACAGCTTTGCTAATTGGTGAAGGTTCGCTTGTGAACATTCAAAATAAATAATAGCAAAGTGGAAATTTAAATGAGGACAAAATGGTCCATACATTATTTCCTTTTCTTATTACTATCAAATCTACATCAGACATCTAAGTCATGGGAATTTTGAATGGTTTAAATTGAAGCTGTAAGTGCTTGAAAATCAATGAACTTACTCCTTTCTTTGTTGCACTGCCTTTAGTTTTTTTGGCACCTATAAGAGATTTCCTGGGTTCTGCAACAGCTGTGGCCTGAGTTGGTGACATACTAAGTGCTGCTTCTACATTAGGTCCTTCATTTGGATCAAAATCTGAAAAGTTGGCAGTAAGTAAAGCATGAAAATCAAATCAAATTCATAGCTCAAGGCACACTTAATACGTTCCGTAATCAAATACATACAGATAAGCATGAAAATTTGCTTGAGTCCGCACAAAATCAAAATAGTATTGCATTTAACTGCCTCCCCATTCTATCATTATAAACAAAACACTTTATATATTACCTGCATTATTTTTAAGGGAACCATTACCATTATTAATAGGTTGTGGAGCAGTACTACCTAATCTAGCTGTATCAGATATCACATTATTACGTGCCCAATCTTCCTCTTCTTGAGTATGTTCATTAAAAAAATCTACTTCTTTCTTAACTGGTGTAGTTTCATGATGTCCTCCATCAATATGCAGCTGAAAGTTACAAATTCAAAATTAAATTTGTTATTTTTTTAATACATGTAATTGTATTAGTTCTTTATCTTATGCAAGCTAATTTCTTATAAAATATTAAGCAATTGATTTAATCGGTCAATTAATACAATATTTTAACTAAATTGATGAAATTGTCACAATACTAATGTACTTGTGAACCATGTATTTTTCACATTATTAGCCATTATAAAAGCCATTCAAAAGATGTTTTCTGGACTTTGCAGGTAAATCTGGGATGCTCATTGCTTTTATTTTATAAATACTACTTTTTCAGTAACACAACCAGTTATGATGTCATCACAAATACTATACACGCATAATGGTTTTATAATCACCAGAATGGACCAAATACACACTCTCTTGAATCACTTTAACACCAGTCAACTATATCATTAATATAATTGACCTACCAAAAAGGCTTGCCAAAAAGTAATAATGAAATCTTTTTTTTTACAAATTCATTTCTTTTATAATATACTATTAAGTTTCCTTGTCAAGTTTCACAAGAGCATGAAAATTACCACAATTTTATTCAAAATATTTTCCCTCTTGATGGTTCAGAAAGTTTTAGGCTATAAGTAAAGCACAACAGATATCGTACTAGATAGAAGCAAGATTGACATAAAAAAAAAACCAAAAAAAGTAATTCCAAACAGGAAATCCCCCAAAAATTCTTGAAGAAATTTCTCTAAAGCTAAAAAATAACACAATTATTACAAATAAAGTTATAGATCTGTGGTGTTGAAGCTTACATAGTGTAATTAAGGATGTGCACTGTAATACTGAAGTTATTTGAATTTTACTCTAATAACCAAGATTTTTTTTTTATCAAAAACAAATTTTCAGTCATATAAGAAATAGATGGGGCGACTAATTTACTTTGCCTGTCTGACTCTACTTCTCAATCAAAAAAAAGGCAGAAATAGGAATCATAAATCAATATTGTATTAATAGCAAAACCATTGTCAACTTAACCCACAATCCAACAATAGCCATTTTTGATAAGGAACTAAAATTGAATGCTTTCTGTTACACCTCTTACTAGTTATGTGAACAATTCCAAGAAAACAAATTCAAGTTGCCACATTTTCCTGTATTAGAAGCAGGGATATTGATTTAACTCTATTTGGCTTACATGACCAGCAGGACAGCTCAAATTGCTGTGGATCAATATCCTAATTTAGAAGTATATCCAAGAAACAAACTTTACACTAGGTTCTATTCAGAACTATTTAACATATAGAAATCTATAATATTCATGCATTAAATAGATTTTGTTTATCCTAATTTAGAAACATATTATTAACTATATATTCTGTCTGTAAGAGATTATAATAATTAAAGCTTTCATGCTGTAATTAACAACGTTCTCTTCTACATAATATGGCCCAATGATAGAATGAGATCTAAAACTAGGAAAATATTTTTCAACCAAAGCATAGTGGAAATCAAGAAAATATTCAAGTACTTGGTGCTTGTTTAGCTGTATATAACGACTGATGGAAATCTTTTCAGCATGACAAGCTGATAACGAGTTTCACATGAAAAAAACTATAGCATTAGATTAAATTGAAATGTTGTCATTTCTGCTGATCACTATTAATTACTGAATTGGATAAAACAAAACCATGTTGAAAAGTGATAAAGCTAGCTGAAAGTGACATCAGCAGAAGGATTTATCATGTTTAAGACCTCACTATAAATTATGAAGAGATAAGCAAAAGAAGAACAAAACCTTGTTAGTCAGCTGAAAATACTGAAGTAAAATAAAATTGCTCCTTTATCACACTATGCCCATGTTAATTTAAGGGATTTGAACAAGACATGTTTATTTTGGCCAGTATTAGTTATGCTCACATGAAATATTCATCTTAATCCAGATTTACTAACAGTACCTCACATTAGTAAAATGGCACTTAAAAATGTTAGAATATTCTGCCATTCACAGTTGTTCACATTATTGTGTAATAAATATAGATAAAAAAAAAAAAGAAAAGACAATGCTCTTGATGAAGTAAATCTTGTTCAAATCCCTTATAAATTAAATAAGCTTGATAAAATATTGATAATAAACAGTGAAGGCTGTGGCTAACAAGAGTTGCCTAACCTTGTTTCCAGCAACATCTATCTTTTCTGGAAACAACTATATAAAGTGAAAAGAAACACATTATCCGATACTTTACAAAACATTTAAAATCATATGGCTTTATCATAAAATTCATACACACATTTCAATACAGATTCTTTTAAATGTCAATGATATAAATGCCACATATTGAATGTCATAGCCCATTATCATCACTAACCGACATTTAATTAGCTACCTGATGAATCTCTTGGTAAGACCTTTGAGACTTTCAAATCTCTTCTAAAACAAGGGGAATACGGAATAGTTATTTATTGACAGTGTTAAATTACTGAACAAACATGCCAGCCTCAATAAATACTTTTGTTACTAAATTTGTTTTGTACCTTTGTGCCATAATTCCGAACTGCTTGCTGAGCTAGACCTAATAATTTTTCTTTATATAATACAGCAGCTCTACTGTTGTATTTCTGTTGGGCATCTGAAGATGTACAACCATGTTGGCGGAAGAAAGCAAGCTGAAATAATAAAGGTCAACTTAGGTCAATCGATTGAAAATATTGAGTTACCGTTATAACAAAATTGTGGATAAATATGCCAAATGTGTTTCTTGACAGATTAATTTGCTAGAACATTGATTGATCTGGTTTTATTTCAAGTTGTTGACCTATATAGTAGTGACAGGTGTCAAGCACAAAGCAAGCCAAGCTCACACTTTTTTGAAACACCACTACTATACTACTTTTACTCTTGATTTTGCCAATGAGAGTTTGATGAGCGGAATTGTCTTGTTTGTACAGATTTTTTTAATGCATGGTAAGCTCTGAACAGAAATTTAATATTGTCATGTTATGTTGTCTAAGAGATATCTTCTGGTTTTATCGTCTGACGCAATTTAATTGTCAGAATACTTACAGCATTTGCATTTCCTCCAACTTGCATGGCACGTAATTGTAGCCATGTCCAGCTAGTATCTAACTGGGTTGATCTGATAAATGTCACATGAACTCCCAAGGATCTGTGTGTAGCTGAACAATCGATACATAGAAATACACCATAGGTTACCGTTGCCCATGTAGGATTATTATTGTTACAATCAAAACATGTCTGGAAAATATTGGATTAAAATTGTTATCTATTACTATATCCATATCCAGTTTGATAGTAACATCTTTTGAATCACCTTAATGGTGGGCTATCGTCTCTGCAAATTAAAAAGTTTTTTTTAATTTTTTCGATACTTTTTAAGAGATTTGGAACATCAGCCTCAAAAGAGTACTGTCAGTCAAAGAATGTCTTTGCGTTGATTACATTTACATTAATCTATAATGAAAGCTACACTGACAAATGTGACTATATATATAGTTCTTTCAGAAAAATCGTCTTATAGATGTAGCAGGCATACTGACAAAAAAAAATCTGGGTGACACGTTGTGACATTCGATCACAGAAATATAACAAAATGACAACATGATTAAAAACAGGAAATATGTGGCCTAAAATCAGAAAAAGTACAGTAACAAGTGACTTTATTGAACATCAAAATGAATCAAATCATAGGTCTTATTCATTACAAGATATCAAACATACCTTATTCGTAGGAATAGACCGTAAACGCTTGAAAATCGCATTAATATCGGCTTTGGTAGGTTGTTCGGCCATCTTGATGACGATACACGGGAAATATCACGTGACTCAGAAATTTGTCAGTATTGAATACTTTGCAGCAATTTGATTGGTAGAAATTCAGATTTTGTTGCTGTTAGTAAACAAAATGGAAGTTTTTGGGACATGAACTATCAGTATTTACATGAATTGATTCTCACCAAACTTCTTCAGAAATAGACCTTACGCACAAGATGACATTTGAAATGGCATACAACGACTCTGTAGCCACTCTTTTTACAATGTTAGTTGATCTGAGTAATTTTAGTTATGTGTAGCTTAGTTTTATTTGTATGAAATTGTAGATGATTCTACTGCCAGTATGCTATCATGAACTGGCACTGTAGACCTACAGTTTGACAGTAACAGTAACATCCCAAAATGATCTTGGCTACAAAATAATATGTGAAGTTTAATGCCAAATTCTATGTAAACAAGTCTATTGGGGGACTCAGCAACAACAAAGTAGAATGTGACTGCTACTAGAATTTTGCGCTTTTTTTATGCAATCTTATTAGGTTAACTGAATGAATAGCATGATCATTGATCAGGGTCTCCAAAATGCCTTCTGTTGATAGGAACCACCCCAAGATTAAGGACAACAATTGAGTTTTTTTATACTCTCTTTTCACTATGTACAGAAAAGGATGCTGACTTAAATATCACAAAACTCAAAGAATTTTTACTTACTTGAAATATAGTATAGACCTAAAAATCTTGGTAACTTTAATAATGTCTGTTACATTCTCTAATGCAGGCTCATATTAGTAATGTCATAATTTGGGAAAACATTGAAGTCTTTTATTTGTAGAATAAGAACTCTTATACAGCCTAAAGGATGGAAATAAGATCAATATTTTGTAATCTTAGATTCCTTGCAGTCTTTAATCTTGCTGATTTCAGATCTTCAAGGGCTGTTGTACATGATTTAGATAAACATGGTAATGGTATAAAGAATATGTCATCACATATTAAAGATGAATGTTTAAAGTTAATGTCACGAAGAGGATTATTGACAGACAATAATATAGAATTGGTAACTTTTTAAAGAGACAGAAGGGAGGAAGGGTTTGAGTCTTGAATATATGTAAATAGTCTTCAGAAATACTATAAATTTATGGAAATCGCATAATTCCTTCAAAAATATCTCAAACTAGGAAGTTCTTTTCGTATTTCTATAGTGTCTTTTCAATATACAGCATTTTATCCGAAAAAGACGACTCATCTTTTTAACTTTCAAACGTGGATATTTCTGGATACACATGGATTTGAAGGTTCAAATTTCGACGGTGTGCTGTGAACACCATTACTGATTGGCTTAGCTAATCTGACATTAAAGTATGATTGGTCAAAAAATGACGCATCTATCCGCATCTGGCCTGTGCTCTGACCTTGGAGATAACTTCTTAATTGTTTGTCATAATGAACTTCTTCTGTTGTAATAAGTTTTATTTCTGTGTTTTCAGATCATACACAATAGAATAAGAAAAATTGAAATGAATCTCTGTGAAAATATAAGTGATGAAGGTTTATTTAAACTTGGAAAATGTCCAAACCTAGTTAAAATTGATATAAATGCACCCAATCCAGAAATTAGATGTGGAATAACTTCACAAGGTAGGTTAGACTTTTTTATGGTAAATTATGGCAACATTAAGGCTTCTTGTTGCAGAGCGCAGAATAAAGATTGATCAAAAATATATATTATATAATATGAAAGAGAAAGGCACAGAGAGTCTGTGATATGTTCATGTTCAAATTTGCTTCCAGGCATCATGAATCTTGCAAGATCATGTCCATATCTTCAAATTGTATTCCTGAGAAAATGTTCCAATGTTACTGATGATGGTGTGATAGCCCTGGCTGAAAATTGTCCAAGATTACGCCATTTAAACCTACGTGGATGTACTCAGTTGACTGATAAATCTGTGATAGCTATTGGTGAACATTTATCATTTATATCTTCTTTAAACATTTCAATGACTCAGGTAGGCTTATGTTTTAAATGTTCAAATAGTTTACTACATAATTTTATCATGCTCAATGTCTGTTTTATCTTCTATTGAAAACTGTACAAACCATCTATAATCATTTAACTTTGTTAATAAGTCAAAATGAAAATCCATACAAGCAAAATAATTCTGTCAATCAAAATTTCATCCAAAGTATGGCAAAAACAAGAGTAAAAGTAGTATAGTAGTGGACTCCTCCAAATGTCCACCATCAGGTGTTTCTAAGAGAGTAAGCTATAATAAAATAATTGAAGTACTTCAAGGTGTCATTGGTCCTACAAGAGTCTTGTTAGTTAAGTTTAACTTATATATAGTAATATATTGTGCTAGTCAAAATGATTGTTTGACCATGTGCAGTGAGCTATGAATAAATGACAACTTTATTATAGGTAACAGATGATGGAATTTTTAAACTAGTTAGTGGAAATTGTAATCAAACCATCAAGGTATGATATTGGGCTACTTATTTGCTATTACAGATCATAATAAAAGATAATAATATTACAATGTGAAAAGTTCATTAGCTGCTACCAATTTCACAATGTGAAAAGTTCATTAGCTGCTCCCAATATTACAATATGAAAAGTTCATTAGCTTCTCTCAATTTTACTATGTGAAAAGTTCATTAGCTGCTACCAATTTCACAATGTGAAAAGTTCATTAGCTGCTCCCAATATTACAATATGAAAAGTTCATTGGCAGCTACCAATTTTACTATGTGAAAAGTTCATTAACTGCTACCAATATTATAATTCGAAAAGTTCATTAGCAGCTACCAATATTACAATGTGAAAGGTTCATGAGTTGCTACCAATATTACAATGTGAAAAGTTCATGAGCTGCTACTAATATTACAATGTGAAAAGTTCATGAGCTGCTACCAATATTACAATGTGAAAAGTTCATGAGCTGCTACCAATATTACAATGTGAAAAGTTCATTAGCTGCTACCAATATTACAATGTGAAAAGTTCATTAGCTGCTACCAATATTACATTGTGAAAGGTTCATGAGCTGCTACCAATATTACATTGTGAAAGGTTCATTAGCTGCTACCAATATTACATTGTGAAAGGTTCATTAGCTGCTACCAATATTACATTGTGAAAGGTTCATGAGCTGCTACCAATATTACAATGTGAAAAGTTCATTAGCTGCTACCAATATTACAATGTGAAAGGTTCATGAGCTGCTACCAATATTACAATGTGAAAAGTTCATTAGCTGCTACCAATATTACATTGTGAAAGGTTCATTAGCTGCTACCAATATTACATTGTGAAAGGTTCATTAGCTGCTACCAATATTACATTGTGAAAGGTTCATTAGCTGCTACCAATATTACAATGTGAAAAGTTCATTAGCTGCTACCAATATTACAATGTGAAAAGTTCATTAGCTGCTACCAATATTACAATGTGAAAAGTTCATTAGCTGCTACCAATATTACATTGTGAAAGGTTCATGAGCTGCTACCAATATTACATTGTGAAAGGTTCATTAGCTGCTACCAATATTACAATGTGAAAAGTTCATTAGCTGCTACCAATATTACATTGTGAAAAGTTCATGAGCTGCTACCAATATTACATTGTGAAAGGTTCATGAACTGCTACCAATATTACAATGTGAACAGTTCCTACCAATGTTTTACCAATATTTAGTTTTGTTTTGCAGTTTGGATCATTTGTACATAGTTTGTTTATAAAGTTCACTATTTTTCAGGAATTAGATATAAGCAACTGTATAGCGTTAACTGATGAAGCTGTGGAAGCAGTTACACAATCTTGTTCTTTGGTATCAATATTAATATTCCATGGCTGTCCTAAAATGACAGGTTTGTAGGTACTATGTTAAATGCAATGTCTCTACTCTACAACTTACTATAAACTCACTGTTATTGTTATTTGCAGCACTATCTGAGGGTACATAATGTAATTACTATTAGTGACTGTTTCTTAAGAGACTTTCAAAGAGACTTTCTAGCCTATGCAAGTGTTTTAGTGACACTCCCAGCTTCTATTTACAAACCATTCCATTTCCTAATGGTTGTATTTATAATTCCTAAAAAATTGTACCAATTAAGACATCACTATTGTAAACAATATTTGATTTGAATGGTTTGGTTGAAAAATATATTTTGTATTATTAATTATTATTCAGTACAAAGCTACAAAACATCAGAAAAATGTTTGTAAACTACCCAATTAATTAAGTTTTATTGTATGCTTATTTCAGAACAAGCGAGGCTGGCTTTAGAAGATAAAGAAGGACCACAGATGAAACATGTGACATGGACAATTTATTAAATTCTCTAAGGACAAATATTTAATGAACATAATGTTGTTTTAGGCGTGCTTTTGTTATGTTATTTTGAAAACAACTGATCTGAATTTTTTTGATATTGTTTATTCTTATAGTTCTAGATAATATTGAGTTTCTGAAAATAACCATGAATTTGTAATGGAGGTTTTTTTTTACTCTTATTTTGTGAGAAAACCTTCGGAAGCATATTAGGGCCATTAATTTTTTTTTTTAATTTTCAAGTTAGTATGTTGAATTTTCAAGTTAGTATGTTGAATTTTTAAGTTAGTATTTTGAATTTTCAAGTTACTTACTTGAAAATTAAAGATAATAACTTGAAAATTCAACATACTAGCTTGAAAATTCAACATACTAACTTGTAAATTCAACATACTAACTTGAAAATTCAACATACTAACTTGAAATTCCAAAAAAAAAATGGCCCTGATACGCTTCCATACAAACCAGCTTTTGTGACCTCCTGACTCTACACACGAGATTAGAATGAACCGAAACTTTATTTTGATACATCATCCAATTCTCTACATAACATCTTTGAACCATCACAGAACCTCTAAAACAAAGAGCAGCGAAAGCACTGTCACCTTCCTTATATTCTAACCCTGTCACTGATGCAGACAAAACCTACCATATTTTACCTATTCCCGACAGGACACCAGATTAGTGCCAGCAAGATCTCTCCAGTTCCCTATCTGCATGTCGAGGGTAATATGGCCGCAGTCGGCTTCCATAGAATTGCCATTAGATTCCCTTAGTGACTACCTTCGCTGAATTTGTCGGCCTATGGATTATGATTTATGAATTGCGATTTTGATAGACACATGAAAGTTGAAATTTGCACTGAAGGTACACACCTATTGGAAGTTGTTATGTTGCAAATTTCAAGTCTCTACCGTGAAAACTCTGCCTGTTACAGCACTTTGAAGTTCAGATTTTTTCCCGATCCAAAATATAAGCAAATTTCCCTCTTGAAAATTCGGTTGGAACTTCTAAGTCGATTTTCCCAAAAGATTTCAAAAAATCCGAATTTCTGTTTTCGACTGAAATAGATAGAAGACATGTTAAACTTCCGTTTGCAACAAAAATTATACCTCTGGGGTCAAAATTGGCGAAGTTATGGCCATTTTAGTGTGGGGGTCTGCGGTCCGCCTATAGGGTCTCATTGCACTGGTTTGGGTGAAGGCCAAAACTTTAACAGGCTGTCGTTCGAAAACTATCAGAGATGAAATTTGCACTGAAGGTACACACCCATCTGAAGTTGTTGTGTTCCAAATTTCAGCTCCCTATCTTGAAATCTCTGCCAGTTACAGCACTTTCAGTCTCAGACTTTTTTCCCAAAACAAAATATAAGCGATTTTCCTCTGAAAATCAAGGGTACAACTTCAAAGTCGATTTTCTCCAAAGTTTGAAAAAATGTCGAACTTCTGTTTTCTACTGAAATAGGTGGAGGAAATGATCAGCTTTCATTACAAACAAATATTGTACCTCTCGGGTCAAAATTGGCCGAGTTCTGGCCATTTTAGGTCAGGGGTGGTGTCGGCGGTCTGCCTATAGCGTCTTTCTTCACTGTATTTTCAACGGGGTGAAGACCAAAACTTTGACAGGCTCTCGTTCGATCAGAGCTAGAAAGTTGAAATTTGCACTGAAGGTACACACCTATTGGAAGTTGTTATGTTGCAAATTCCAAGTCTCTACCGTGAAAACTCTGCCTGTTACAGCACTTTGAAGTTCAGATTTTTTCCCGATCCAAAATATAAGCAAATTTCCCTCTTGAAAATTCGGGTGGAACTTCTAAGTCGATTTTCCCAAAAGATTTCAAAAAATCCGAATTTCTGTTTTCGACTTAAATAAATAGAAGACATGTTAAACTTCTGTTTGCAACAAAAATTATACCTCTGGGGTCAAAATTGGCGAAGTTATGGCCATTTTAGTGTGGGGGTCGGCGGTCCGCCTATAGGGTCTCATTGCACTGGTTTTGGTGAAGGCCAAAACTTTAACAGGCTGTCGTTCGAAAACTATCATAGATGTAAAGTTGAAATTTGCACTGAAGGTACACACCCATCTGAAGTTGTTGTGTTCCAAATTTCAGCTTCCTATCTTGGAATCTCTGCCAGTTACAGCACTTTTAGTATCAGACTTTTTTCCCAAAACAAAATATAAGCGATATTCCTCTGAAAATCAAGGGTACAACTTCGAAGTCGATTTTCTCCAAAGTTTGAAAAAATGTCGAACTTCTGTTTTCTACTGAAATAGATGGAGGAAATGATCAGCTTTCAATACAAAAATTGTACCTCTCGGGTCAAAATTGGCCGAGTTATGGCCATTTTAGTTCAGGGGTGGAGTCGGCGGTCTGCCTATAGCGTCTTTCTGCACTTTATTAATATTTCAAATGGTGATTCAACATTTTAGTTTAATTGATTTACTTTGCATCTACACAACACTAATTGAAAATATGGCCTACGAAAGTTTAATTTGCTCTATATATACCTGACAGCTCAAAGTTTACTTTGTGTCCTAAATCAGCCACCGTATCGAGCTGGCTGTTTATATTTTAGTGTTGGCCTATACTTAGTTACTGATAACGTATAGCCTATTAACCACGTATATAGCAATAACATTAGGATGAGGAACTAGATTAATTTTGGGTCTACCGATCGAACCTTTTAAGAAGCCCTATAGTCATGATGGTTAAAGCCAAAGACGTATTTAAATGTATCACTATATTCATTGTTCTTTTTCTAGAAGTTGAGAGCACAAATTTGAGACCTATTATCGGTAAGTTGTTCTAAATTTTCTTTTATTTAACCCGTTATGTAGGTTAGGCAGTCTATTTAAAGAAATCTTACTTTACGGAGGGTTATGAATGCCATTATTTCTTCTGCATTGCTCTAACTGTATGATTCGTGATATATATATATATATGATATATATATATACATATATATATATGTATTCTGGTTAGCCCCGTCGCTAGGGTGGGGTCCGTGGGGGCTGTGCCCCAGCAAGTGATAATTAAACCCCAGCAAAACCTTCTTCAGTTCATCAGAGATTGATTAGTTTACAGTGTCTTTGATTTTGATACGTTTTGGCACCTTTAATTGTCAGAAATGAGCTCTCTGGGCCTTAATCTTTCAGATTTTCTGATTACAAAATCTGAGCCCCGGCACCAATTCATTCCTGACGACGGGGCTGATTCTGGTGCCCCTTTTGTTGTTACATCACAAATTACTCTTTTTATTTCTTCTTCATAACCATGTAAAAATTACAAAATTATTCATGAATTACATGTATATGATTTCTGTATGAATTTAAAGGTATATTAACTCAAAAGGTATCAGGAAAAGAAGAAACGTTTATACCAGCTAGTTATGTCAATTATTTAGAGGCATCGGGGGCGAGAGTAGTTCCAGTGAGGTAAGAGTTTCGTCTGGAATTAAAAAATTTTAAAAGTGAAGTTAACTTGGTTAGGATGAATTTAAGTCAGTATATGGATGATCAAAAGGTAATATGCCTTACAATCACTTTCCACGGTAGAAACAGTGGTGTTTTTAGGTATCATTAGTTGCGGGGGGGGGGGGGGGGGGTGGTGACAAGACTTGTTGATAAGAAATTTGGTACATGGGGGTGGTTGGGGGTGGCAGGGAGATGCAAGGCCGGACAAGCCCCATAGAAACTCCAGAAATTGGAAGGGTTGATATATTCTGATGTATAAACTGGTTTTCTGTTCTACAGATTTGAAATGATTTTTAAATTTACGGTCATTCATTATGGTATTTTGAAATATATTTTTCAGAGCTGATCAACCCAAACGTTATTATGAAAAAGCTTTTTCACAAATTAATGGGTATGTTTAAGCTTATAGATTATTTTTATTTTATCCCATGCAGTATATTTAGTATTGGTAATTTAAGAAATATACTTTAAAAAATATTCATTTTAAGCTATATATAGTCTTAATAAACTTTCTAGTTTATTGCACAAGATAGATCGTTTAATGACCCTATAATATACTTTTCAATCATGTTGTTATGAGTCAGTGTAATATTACTTATTCTGCTTCCTGAAAACAAGGAAATGAAAACAGATTTTCATTTACAACTTAACAATTACTTCCTCGTTAATCTGCTGACTTGTACTATGGTTTCAAGCCTGTTTTTATGAATCAGAAATTGTGCATTTTGTTTACAGAGTGTTGTTTCCTGGTGGCGGTGTGGGCCTAATAAGTAGTTATTATGCTCATAGTGGCAGATATATTTATGACTTAGCTATAAAGGTACCAAGGTCATTCTTTTTCCATGTTTTCAGCGTTAAACAATATGAAAATCTGTAGATAATATTAAGCAATAACGGTTGCAGTTTGATCAAAATATCTATTCCTTTGAAGCTTGAAGCTTATATGTTGAATCCATTTTTTTCTGTAGTGAGAGATCATTTCTGCTTGATGGGTGCAGTACACAGCAAGTGAAAAAAATCTTCAAGCAGCCATCTAGAATGATCATGTTGTCTCTTGTTTTGTTGCGATTTGTCACAATCTCATATTCTATATAGACCATGAAATAGAGTGGTTAACTTCCTATAAGGTATGGAAGTAAAGGTGGAACATTTCAACCCTAACATATTTATAATTCAATTTGTTTAACAGGCTAACGATGAAGGTGATTTTTTTCCACTATGGGGAACTTGTCAAGGCTTTCAACTATTAACTAATCTAACAGCAGATGTCGATTTATTAAGCAGTACTGATAGTGAAAATTTACCTTTACCTCTAAATATCTCAAAATCTTTAGCAGGTAAGTTCTCGTCTGACATGCGTAGCCCAGACACAGACTTTTCACTTGAACTTGATTCGTTTGTGACATATTCAATTAAAATGAAATCCAGAAGACGCACCGACGCTGGCGCTCACTTTTTGAAATGGCATATACTCACTTTGATAGCGAATATTCCTCTGTGATACTCATACTTGAGTATCAGTAGCTTTCGCTATTTAGTAATATAATGAATTTTTGGCATCCTGATTACCAGACTTCATTGTGAAGACGGAAAGTGACAGGTTCACTAAATTTGTCTTGCAACCTTTATTGAATTACGGCGACTTTTTTCGTCGTAATGGAACTATGGTATCGTGGGTATCATAAAGCTATTCACTGTCATATTTTTCAGGCAAGAGTAGGTTGTTTGGCCCATTGCCGTCAAGAATTTATGACTTTCTAACACAGAAACCTGTTACATATAATAACCATCACTACAGCATGACAACAAAGGTATAATTCAGTTAAAAAAACATTGCAAGTCTTTCCATTTTAATTTTTCATCAGTGACACAAGGTTCTGAACATGTTACTCCTTTCTCCGTGGAACACAATTATATATTCAGAATGATAAGTATAGTAAATAAAGCAATTGTAAAAATGATACACATGACAGTCGTCCGTATGGTTTTTCTTCTTGGAAATTGAATATTGCATTATTTTTTAAATTTATTTCAGACATTCCATAATACTAAATCATTATATAGCTTCTATAATGTGTTATCAACTAATACAGATAGAGAGGGTATTGAATTTGTGTCCACTTTCGAAGGTAATGATAATCTCTTCCACTTTTGTCTTTGAAGGTAGTACACAGTGGCATTTCCATTAATTGGGGGTGGGCGACATAAGCCATTCTTTATCTATACGAAATGATAAAAGCGGGGGTAGGGCGTTCTTGTAGATGGCGATTTAGATTATAATGTTCAATATCATCTGTTACAGCGAAAGATTACCCCTTTTATGGTGTTCAATGGCATCCAGAGAAAAATAATTTTGTATGGAATCCTAAACTTAATATAGACCACGATGAAAGTGCTGTCGAAGTTAGCCAATATATGTCCAACTTTCTAGTTGCTGAAGGTATGTTCTTATTCAATATTCTAGCAATGAATTATACGGGGAGAAGAAAGGGGATCTATCTATACTAATCAGTCCATACCTTTTGGAAAAGATCTGCTTCCCAACCAAGGGGGTTCCAAACCCTACTTGGGTAACCAGAGAAAACTATAACGTGGGGTACCAGAGAAGATTTACTCTCTTCCCCTGATAAGCTGGTGATTCAGAGATCTGTCTACTGAGCCAACAAACTGCTGTTTTACGTCCAGTGTTAACTCTGATATATCCACAGGGTCTGTCCGTTGCAAAACTGTCAGTTAACTTTCCGATTCATTTCGCTCTGGTGAAACAACTTCGGATATTTCAAGAGGTGTAAAATAATTTGACCACAGAAAATTGTTTTTCGTGGTAACAATCTACAAAACAATATTTCGTCTAGCTTATTGAATGACAGTAAAGGCATATTGTACTCAAGGTGTAGTTTTTCTCTTATGTATTTTCAGCAAGGAAGAGCAATCATAAATTCCAGAATTCCACGTCAGAAATTCAAGCAATGATTGATAACTATAAAAGATCTTATCACACCGATGGAACTTTTGAAGTCATTTACTATTTCAATTTAGAAAATTCAAAATTCGATACATTCCTGTAAATTTATATGTTAAAGTTGATTTGTTACATTACAGATTTTTATTTTTTCACTATTTTGATTCTCTTGACTTCACTTCATACTCATCACGTTTACTAGACCAAAACATCGGTCTCTATTCCAGATTATGATATCTATTTGGACAGATGTCAGCTGGTGTATAGAGACAGAACAAATAGCCCCTGTCATTTTCTCCCTACTTATATCATGTCTCCGCTTCCATCAAAGTGTTATTTTTGGCGAAACTGATCTAGCATCAGTCATTTAAAACTGTGTGCAGCCAAAAGTTCAAAGGCCACAGTCACGTGATACTAACAAAGCGAAAGTTACGGTGATGCCCAACACTGATTTACAATCATCTGAAGGTAATTCAATATTATGTTATGGTCTTTTATTCTACTCCAGCTGACAACTGTCAAAATATATACCAGAGGCTGGAATAGAGGCAGATATTTCGGACTAAACGTTTACTTAATTCAAAAATCTACTGCCTATACTAATTAGTTGAAAAGTGGCCCTTAGCGTTTTCAATCCATTATCTGTATTGTGCAACTCCTGCTCACTCTACAAGCAAGAATTCTATATGGATTCTTTTGATTTTTAAAATCTTTAAAATTGCAAAATCAGATTTGTCGGAGACTAAGCTGTATTGATTCACTGTTAGTACAGTCTTCGTTTAATCAGTGCTTAAATTGAACACACTGTATCCACTTTCCACCTGTTCAGCGATATAATTAAACGTCTAGGCATACCTTAATACATATACAACTTACCCCACGAAGAATGCTACAATTTACCCAAATCACATGCTCATTTCAAATCCCCGCCCATCATTTATGAATAGTGAAACAGCGTCAGATCACCATCTAATCAAAGAAGCAATGTTAAAAGATCCTACCAATAATGCCTTCTTTCTCTTGTCATAGATATAACAATCATTGGAAAATTTTGGTCAATATAGCAAGGGGCAATATGGGAAAGGGGCAAATTGGGAAGGGGCAAAGTGTCGAGTTTGTGTGTTAGAAATTATAAGGCTGGTTTCAACTTACCCGTTTTACAAAAGCCCCTTTCTCCCTTAAGAGCTTCCTCTTGAGAGTTTTTCATGCAGTTACCCTCGTTAAGGTGAACTTGATGGTGTTAATTAATAACCTGTTGCCGCATTTAGAATCGTGTAATAATTGCAAGAATTGCTCAGGTATCGTTTTACTGTTCGACAAATTTAGAGTATTTTCAACACAAATAACTCAAATGATAAGTCGCAAATCCAACAATTCTGCCAAGGATGTTTTCCCTTGGCTTGATGTTTGGTATGTTTATTTCCAATTATTCATTGAATTGGAGCGTATCCAGGTTGACTTCGTGAAATTCTTTCCACAGGCTGGCAGCATTAAAAGCGAACAACCTCGCAGTTAATACACCCTTGTTTTGGATACTTGTTTAAAAAGATACAACCTCCCGTTTAATCCAGATATTAGGATTTGTAGGACTTCGGTAAATGGCCTTTTCATTATAGAGACAACAATGCGCAAACACTTTTCATAATCTAATATTTATACACATTTTATTTATATACATTATCTTTATATACACACATGTCTATTTACTATTATAGAAATAATAAAACCAAATCAAAGTACTTTAACTTAATCGTTGATTTAACTCAATCGTTGAATTACTCACTAATTACTAAGTGGACTAATTAGTTTTCTTGTTAAGACCAAATGTTAGTTCAAGGGCAAGATTTACATGGAACCAATTACGTAATATGCAAATGACAATTTATCTTCCATAAGGACCAACTTATAGCTGTGCCAATTTTTCCAGTTTTAAAAGATATACCAAAATGTTTACAACTCCAGTTGAATTATACACCAACATTTAACAGTGCAAGTATTCCTTCAGTTGAATTATAGACCAACATGTTTACATTGCAAGTTTTCCAATTATATTATATACCAACATTTTTCCATAACATGTCCAGCTATCTTATAATTACACTTTTAAAATTCCAGGTAGACAAATAATATTCAAACAGCTGTTCCTCTCTCTAAATTCTGTTTGATTTCTGATGTATAATCACCATAGAATCTCTCCAATTTCTTATTGAATTTCATATTTCTTTCATTAATATAATCAATATCAGCATCTTCATCAAATTGCCTTCTTCTACTATATTTAGATCTTTTATCAATCCTGTAACAGATTAAAGATGTAAAAATGATAGTCAGGTATGTGCACTCTTGAACAGTTGTTTTTAATTTTGGATTGTCAATATTGATATTTTACATGAGTTAACTGTTTTAAACACCAAGCCTGTAGGTCGGGGTTATATATTGTGAGCTCGAAATATTGAGACTATGATTGGGGCTGGATGTATGTGCTAATTTCGTTACATTGTCGACACAATCATGAATACAATTTAGTTTATTTGTTGCAGCTCGTTTTAAGGGTTGGGCTAATATGTCAGTAATTATCTGTACAGACTACTTCAGTCACCCCACTCTGTTCACACATTTACAGAGTAAATCAAGTTATAAGCATGATTTAAACCTAGTTATAGCACAGCTAAGCACCTCCCACTCGTTTATTCAATGAAAAGATCAAAGAAAATCTCAATATTTTATTATAACATATATGACATGTTGCATAATATTATGTACTTACTGTTTTTCTAAATCTTCTACCATTCTATTGACAGCGTCTTCTGAATCTTTCTGATGATGTAAACCAAGTGTATTGGAGTTAGCGTAAAAATCTTCTCCTCTATAAAATAATATATAACATAAATAAAAATAAACAAATCAAGACATCAATTTGGCCTCATATTCTGGAATAGTAATTTAGTTAGTACTTTTCCTTAATTATGGATTACATAAAAGCTAAGTCATATTAAATAGGAAACAACAAAACTTACAGCTTTTCTTTCTGTCTGTCATACTGTCTCATGTCTGGTTTAATTTTCTTTGTTAATCCAGAATACTGTCTATGTGTTGCCTGTTCATAATCTACAAATTTAAATATATAGATATATTATAATAGTAGTTTCCTCTCAAGCAAAAGATGATATAGCAGGTAAAGGGCACATCACAGATACATAACTTAACTAAGCTTATAGATTTTAAATATATATTTTGAGTAGGCTTATTCCTCTGTCCTGGTAAAATTTCTCACTCTGTATTCAGTTGCCCATTTTCACTAGCCCAATGAGGTGCAAGTCAATTTACATGTAGGATACAATTGGACAATTAGTTCGAATCATTGTGAATGTAGATTATTAGACACTTAAAAGGAATTAAAAGAGGTTTTCTAAAATTTTTATGTGTATTGGGGATACTGATAGCATTAATTTGCTCTATTCCATGTGCTTTATCACAAAAGGCACGTCACTATTTGTGACGGCATCAAATGCGTAGTTTTAATAGAATGACAGGAACCACAGACGTCTTTTTGGAATGATACAATTTCATGCAATCAGTAACCCTGATACACATACAATTTTTAGAAAACCTCTTTACAATCCCTTTAAAGAATAGTTCAATTTTGGAGCAATAGTCAAGATTGATTACTCATGTTAACTAATGGCAAGACACTCTTGCCTTTATTTGAAACACAATGGTATTTCAAGTCCTTATTTTGTTCATTACTGAAACAAGATCTTTCCAGGAGAAACTCTTTTTAAGGAAATGAATCTGTTTCATGATATAGGTTTTAAAGTTTTTAAGTCTAACAGATTTGGAGGATCCTTGAACAATCACCAAGGTAATCTTTCCCTGATTGTCTGCACCCATAAAACATTTTGAGGTTACTAATTTCTACAATAAAATTTATTTACTTACCAGAAAAACCAACATCAGGATTTTTCTTTTTCTTCTTTTTGTCCCATCTCTCTACTTCATCTGCTCCCCAATCTAATAATTTAACTCTATCATAGTTCTCTCCTTTCTTCACACATTCCTACAGTAAAAACAAACACATACATATTTTCATAATCAATTTAAGACCAAAGCTTTTGAAGTTCCGATGAGCATACAAGAAAAAATTCAAGGTACTAATATCAACCAATGCACATTATTCTAATACTAATAGACAACTTTAAAAATTAACTGGACTATTTTTTATGCAAGCCATTCCCTGTGTAAATTTGTAGTTGTGTTTTTTACATTGTATTCCTGATAAAGATTTCTGACATCAAAAATATTTTTATCAGATTCATAAATACCTCTCTTGCCCTCTCTTGTTCATCTTCCCATTCTGTACGTTTTATTTTAGCATCATAATTGGCTGGTCTTTTCTTTCTTTCATCTTCAGCTACAACTTCTACATGATTTAACTTACGAGCCTCATTCTACAAAATTAAGTTTTCTATTTGTAATATAATGCTATTGTATATCTTGAAAAAGATTTATAGTTTGTATAATGGGTCTCATCATTATAAATATTCAAACCAAATTTCATGCAAATCGAATGAAAACAGTTGTCTCAGTTGTGTACGCAAACAAATTTTGACACATTTTTCTTTTAAGTCAAGGCAATAACAGAAAAACTGTTTATAGAAAGATCGTAAAATTCGAACTTGTCCAAGATCTCATCATCATAAATATTCACACCAATTTTCATTTAAATTGGATGAAAACTATATTCTCCATTGTGTTCACAAACAAATTTTGATGCACTTTTCGTAAATCAAGAGCAATGAGTCAAAAAATGTCATCGAAAGATCATCAAATTTGAATATAAATGATCACACCAAATATCATTAAAATCAGATAAAAACTGCAGTCTCTATTGCATTCACAAGCCAGTTGTGGACAGACAGACATGGGCGAAAACAATATACGACATTATAATGTGAGCGTGTAAAAAAGCTTTTATTGCAATTTATTATCAAACAATACTTAATTATAAAAAGGATTGAGAACAGGCTCTTTTCATTTATAGCATTACTGTTTGTAAAGAAATGTTGACCTTACCATGCGAAGTTCCAGTTCTCTGAGTCTATTCATTCGTTCTTTAGCTGTTGGTTTAGATGAGGATGGACCAGGTACACTACTACTTACACTAGTCTGAAATATAAATTTATTTCTTACAATGCTTAATCTTCTTTTTTAGTATTAGGTACATTTGTTATTAAAGATTAAAACAATATTTATAACTCTTCTATCAAAAGTTCAAAAACTGTAGGCCTAGTTTTTAACGTGCATAAGAGCTAAAGATTATAAAATAGTAACAAATGACAAACTAAGCCCAGAATGTAGCCATTGTAGGTCTTTTTCTTGTATGTTAAAAATGAAATGAATAGATTAATTCAGGCCTTAAGAAAACAAATGCAAATAAATAAATCTTTTTGAATTTTAAACTAGAGGGATATAATTTAATCAGTATTGCTGCAATGGAGGGCTCTACTCAGCTATCAGCAGTATATCATTTGGAAATAAATAAGATATTATTTCAGTAATATACTCTATTATAGAAGTACTGGTCTAGGTCAAAAGAAGAGACTATGGATTTCAGCATTGTAGTGTAATACTTGGACGGTAGTAGCAGAGTTCATGGCTGGACTATATGTTCAGAAACAGCTAGCTGGTGGTGAAGCAAATATTGCTATATTACAATGCCAGCTCACTTCTTTATTATTCTTGGTTACCTGTATGTAAGGTAGCCTCCGCTACTATTTCCTTTTGATTATAACTTCTGATCTATGTTCATTACCTATTCATTGAATAATTGAAAAAATAATAATAAAGTATTACGATTTATCTTGACTTACCGACGCCATTTTAGAAATGTTATTATACCTCCAACGTGAAGAACTTTATCTAAGGGGGATAATAACATTCAGACTACAGCGAATTTCCTGTTAATAAGGCACATCAAAAAATACAAGACCCCAGTTATTCTAAACCAACAAAAAGACAACTACGAGAGCTTGAAGCTTGACGAATGCTTCTTATTTAATGACTTCTTTTTATTCATTGATATATATTTCATTGAAAAACATTTATACTCCGAATGAACATTCAAATACTAGGCCTATGCACTAAGGATGTTCTCAAACCCAATTCACAACAACCTTAATGATAAAGATGAAACAATACTGCATTTCAATTAATGATGCAAATATTCAAACTTTTCAAATGAATGCATTCTGTCAATAAAAAAATATCCTAGAAATTTCTTCATAACCTTCAAGGAAATGCCAAGGCTCATAATAATGAGATAATGAGCTAAACAAACTCCCCAATTTTTACAGGATCAACGGGGCGTTTAAGAATTGTCAAAATTAATTGCCTAATACAATTTCAAAATGCTCATATGTGTTTTGCTACCTTTTAGTCATATTTAGTAACTTGTTTGCGAAATCAGAAGAGTTATTTGTTCATATTGCCATGGGATCAATGGCAGTGTGTGCATTTTTTATTGGCCTAGTTTCTAGTATTGACACCATCAGAGGTTAATGTTTCCCAAAAAGGAAATCAGCTTCAACACTAATATGAGTCTTGGCATTTCCTTAAAAACAGTATGAGGTATGTTTTTCTCTATACTTAATCACAAATTTATAATCTTTTATTAGATCCTTCACAAAATCAACGATGTAACTACAGGCACACAATAAAATAACTGTTATGATGGTATGGAATCACAGGATAAATGGCTCAATTTCAACATCCATACATCTGACAATCTTCATATAGACAAACATGTTGGTGATAAAATTAACTATCATGACATCATCAAACATTTAATTTAGGTATAGTATAAACTCTCCTACATTTCTCATCAAATGTCTGAAAGTAAAACATTAGTAAATTACTTCTTCTATTCTCTATTCATAATCCCTAATACTATCAGATAAACAAGATAACAAATACTAACCCTTGAGAATTTAGAATGAAAGGAATTCTAAACGTTTGTGCGACTTTTTAAGTATATTGGGGTTACTGATAGCAATGATTTACATCATTTCAATCTCAGTCAAGATATCTATGGTTCTTACAAAATTACACTAAGAGTTAGTGCTAATGGCATTACCAACACAAAAGCTGTCTCTTAAAAAGTAACATCATAAAAATGCTTGAAATTGCAAGAACCAGCTGTCTAACTGAAAATTTGATTGGTGCAAGCTATCATTGGGCTTTTCACTTGTCACTGAAGACTTCTATAAGTATCCTGTTCATGTAGAAATCAATCACAACAGAAAAGGAAGAATAGCAACATCAATAAATTACTTACCCTATAACTTCTATCTTTTAATACTTCTTCTACATTTAATTCATTTTGCATTAAATGTAACTACAAAAAAAAAGCAGTTGCAAAAACTAAAATTCAACTTTGTTCAAATTTTAACATGTTGGCACAAATATTATAAATTTTGCTGATGTAGCTACAGTTGATGCAGAATCATGACTGCCAAGAAGAAGTATTATTGCACAGTGCAAACTCTGAGTAACAAAATATTTCTTATACAATATTTATATTTAGATATAATAATATGTACCATTTTTTGTTCCTTTCTTAAGTTTTTATAAACAGTCATATCATCTTCATCTTTGGCCCGTTGATCCTTTAGAGCATTGACCTTTTGTGAGACTTCAGTTATACATTTTTTAATCACCACTTGTCTAGACTCATGTTCCTTCAGCATCTGTTTAGAAAGAAAATAGTAAATAACGCAAAACACTTTTGATTAGTGAAATAAGAAATTTTTATCAAGGACCATTTTTATAATGAAAATCAAGGACATGATGATAATTTGATTCATTATAAGACATGAAAGAAAAATGGAGTCTTATATAGTAGGTTTCTGTTTCTAATCAAAGATGACAGGACAGGCAACATTATGATATAATGCAATTGAAGGAAATTACGGTAGGTTCACTAGGTTGTATAAACATGGTCAGCCCGATGCTTGATTATAACTATTTCCATGTCTACACTCATCAATTACTTGGAACGTTCATCAATTAAATCCAAAGGTATATTTACATGTATTGTGCACACCCAAGTTTAAATATGAAGTCACTGAACCCTGTTTTATAAGCAAAGCAGGTATATAAATGTTGTACTCTCTATTACCTCTCTATATAATTTTTCACATTCTGTAGCTGGATTTACTTTATTTGTAAAAGATTCAGTGGGTATACTTGTATTTAATGCATAAATAATTCTATCATCCATGAGCCTCATTCGCTTCAATGCATCCTGCAGAGAATAAAGAAATTAGCCCATAACAGAGGATCTGAAAACATTGCTTGTACTAAATTTAGGATGATGATTTTCCAATAAGAACAAGCTATTATTATTATACAGTCAAGTAACCTAATTTCGTGGAAACCTATTATTCGTGGATTGCCGGAAATGTTTAATAATTTACATGAGCGACCTCCCCCTCCCCTTAGTTTGTTTTGATAAACATGGGTTTTCTGTACAATATCAGCTAGTAGAATGAATCCAGTAGTTTCAAGCAAGGTAAAATGTATTAATGTATACTTTGACAAATACAAAATGGAGGATTTCAGTTATTACCAAACATCACCATTTTTTATCAGCCGAATTTCCTTATAATCCCTAGCCGTAATCGGAATTCCAAGTGTCGTCTGCTAGAATGTAGTCCAACGCATGAAGTCACGTGATCAACTAGCGGATTCCGTGTCAGCAGAAAATTTCTATGGAACACAAAGTGGACCATATTCTTATGTTTTTTCAGTGACTTTTACCAATAAATCGCGCTACGTATCATATTTTGTCAGTCACTATTTTTTTTAAAATCGTGGTTCTTTGAAGGAATTGTCACTAGTTATAATAAATTGATATTAAAGATAAATACTAGGAGAATTTAATTATACCACCCGGTATTGCCGAGTTGGTTGCTCATGAAATATGGAAAATCGAAATAAACCAATTTTAATTACTTTATAGAATATCTGAGAAAACATCTAAAACATAAAAAAAAATTTCATTTTTTTAACTATGACAAACTTCGGTGTTGAATCCTTATATCCATGAGAATAGGTTACACCACTGTACTATTAAGCTAAACCTGGTACTTAGGTGTCTTGAAATCAGAGAAGTTGGAAGATAAGTATTTTCATAAGGTAGGGAGTACATTTTTTCAGTATGAGTAGGCTAGTATGTTGTTATTTTGATTGATAGAAAATGCGATTTTGTTACTTTTGTGGAAGGACAGTAAGTTACATAAGAATGACAATGGCCTGTGTGACAATCGTGACTATTTACATAACCATATGAGTGCATGCAAGTCGAGAGGCATGATGATCGCGAATATAATGCACATTTCATTTTTATCGGGTGTAATACGCCTGACAACGCTCTATCAGCTGCATAATTTACAAATTCGACCAAAAAAGTCCTTTCATTTGTGCTTATTGACAAATACTAAAGCGCAACAAATAAAACACCTGAAAAGCTAGAATATCTGTGCATGACACCTCTTTCCTTTCACCTTCAATGGGCGCCGACATTTTGGATCTAAATTCACGTATATACGAGAATTAAAATAGAAAAAAGTGTCTTTGTTTCTTGCTAAATATATTTAATATTTTTCTTCATTTTGAATATTTCTTACGGCTTCTTGTAGTTTTCTTCTAAAATTTTTGAATTCTGAGATATGTCATTAAAAAATTCTTCATTCTCATTGAAGTGAGTGTTCAACGAGAGGAAATTCATAGAAAAAATTAATAAGGAAAATCACGCTTTAGATCCTTTATTTCGTTTTAATCATTGAAATTTATTAATTATCTATCTAAATTGGAATAGATGCCAGCTGAGGTATGTGTAATTTTGTTAATTTGTATTCTTGTAAACATTTTTTACCATGATGGCATGAATCAGATTGTAATGGTTAGAAATGGCCCACAAATGAGTATCTATTATTAGCATGCATAGTACAGTAGTAAGATAGACTAACATAATAATAGATTACAGAAGTCAGTCAGATCTTTATTTACATTCTTTTCTTGTTTTGTGCTTCCTTGCTAATGCTGGTCAGAGCTTACACTCTTACACTTATTTATGAGCTCTGAATACTATGGGACTTTATGATGAGTATGATGAGCTTACTAAGATAACACATCTCGTTCCCAGATAATATGAAAGCAATTTATTCCATTAGCTTCCTGATTCATTACTTGTGTTCATCCATCACAATAATTGATCAAAAATTAACAAGTTCTTAATTAATTTATAATTATATGTTAATTAGGGGAGGAAACCCCTTCAAATAGGCATGGAAACCAGGGAAAGGGGTTGGGGGACTTGTAAAAGGGGGAAACCACTACGGCACTACATGCCATTTTATTATTTTTGTCCATTGCATTATTGTACTTTGAGATATTATAATATTATTTTCATAGATTTCTTGAATCCATTTAAATATTGAGTTTTGTAATTTATATTCTGATAAAAACACGCTACGGTACAGGTACATGTACAACTTTAACTATGCTATAATTCTATAATAACTTTCATAATATAGAATATGATAATGCAGAAGGCTGATCTTAAGACCCAAACCCACAAATTCTATGCTATGGTACTTTTCATTCAGACACAGATATCACATGCTTGTTGTGGAATATTGGTAAATTGTGTAAAATGAAAGTACTTTTGCTTATTGCATTGGTCTGAAGCCTATATCGGTCACTAAACTTCATTTTTAGTGGACGATTTTCTTAAATTAATAGCAATTAACATCACTGAGCCAATAATCATGGTTATATTTATCAAAAAGGGTTTGGCAAAAAAAAAAACATGGAATTGACAGAAATTTGTTATTGTTCATTAAAAGAATTTACATGAGCAATGCGTTTCGAGTCTGCAGGATAGATTTGTTCGATTCTTGTTCCAGACACCTCAACTACGATTACAAAAATAGAACATGACACGAACGAGTGAAAGAAACATTGATCGAAACCTAACAACTAGCTTTGATTATCCTGACTAAAATTATATGTTGTTTTGAAAGAAAATATTAATCGGGATGACTGAAACTACACCTTTCGATTATTCTAGTCAATTGTTGATAGCAAAAATTTGTTGAGATTCAAATCTGGATATTCACTTGTGTCAGCAATTTGAGTACCATTACTAGTGGCATGTTGTCAACTTTAAGCTAGTGCGCCTCTGACTGCATGCATGGCTTCTTTTTTATACTACATGACATCTGCCTCAGATTGGTTGAGGCTGCACACACTTGGTCTTATTCAGTTGTCAAGTTGTAAAGGTATAATGCAATTATTGACTGGAATGTTTTTATGTAATACATAGCTTGATAATTTTAACTGAAAACTTCTGTAACAACCTATTCAGATGCATATCATTTGTCTGAATAGAAAAATCTTTGAAATTGGTTAAATTATTGAAATAAAACACTTTTCTTTGTTCTGGAAATGATTGGAATTGGGAATGTAATTTTCTGCAAGCTTAATGTTAATGATTGATTCAATAATGTTTATTTTTTGCATGCATTTCAATTCCTTTTTGATCTTGATAACCTATATTTTTGTTATATTCATTTGCAGATGACCGATCCTGTAGGAAATGCTAATCACAGACTTAAATCCTATAAAAATCTGGCATTAGATTCGTCAGAGTTACGGAGAAGGAGGGAAGAGGAAGGTATTCAGATTCGTAAACAGAAACGTGATCAACAGTTATTTAAGAGGCGAAATGTTTCTATGCCAGCACCTGGTGAAGATATGACAGTTAGCGATGTCCAGGAAAATACAGTGTCATCCTCTTCTGCAGTAAGTTCTCTTTTATTCTGAAAGAAGATTTTCATGTCAATAAACTGTTCAAAGCTATCTGTAAGGAATGATCATGGTGTAATGTTATGCAACAGGAAATTTCTTTATCATGGAAGGCCAAATTTTTTCATTATAACACTTGCCTTTGAAATGTGACTTACAGAAAGGTAAAACTTTTTCAACGTTTGTTTTATGTAAATATGATCAACTCAGTAACTACCAGTCTCATAATCTTAAAGATATAATTCAAAATACATCTTTTGGTATGGCTTAAATTTGTGTGTGTCACCTGGTAAAACAACTGCTTTACATACTGAAATGATATCTTTAATTGTAGTAATTGTATTGTTAATGATTTTGCTCCATTTTTCAGGGAGGGATAACTCCAGAAATGGTGCAAGCATTATACAGTGATAATACTGAAGAACAGGAAGTTGCTACCCAAAAATTTCGAAAACTCTTATCTAGAGGTAAATATTGTCTTATAAACTTGAAATGAATACAGAATTTGAGGCTGATACTGGTAGATTAGCATTAAAGTTTCAGATGAATTTGTATTATCCCAAAGATTTGTCCGAAGTTTGGTGCTTTGAGAATGTTGTTGCTCTTACATCTCCAACAAATATTCATGAAACAAACTACAATCTATAGAAGACAACTTGTACTGGAATTTTCTAATAGATTGCAAAAACCACACTCAAAGATTTTGGAATTGTGTGAGTTTTTTATAGACTACAGGCCTATTATTGTTACTGAAAATTATTTTAAGCATTTTATTTCAGAACCAAACCCACCTATAGATGAAGTAATTCATACAGGAATGGTTCCTAAATTTGTTGAGTTTTTACAGAGAGACGGAAGCTGGTCTTTACAGGTAGGGATTTATAATATGAAATGGATAAAAAAACTGATAATTATATGAGTAAATTTATATGACTGAAATGACTAGTGAAAATTATTGAAGTTTAGAGAAAGGGCGTTGCACTTGGAGTGTTACCGAATCTGAAATTCAAATTATAACTTTACTCTGACTTGAAATTAAGGCCTAACTTGATTTTGATCAATGTAGAAATACTTCAGAATTTTCAAAGCTGTCATCTGAAACAACTGTTAACATATAACACTATATAACACATGTATTGTATTTTATTAATGTTTATAGTTTGAAGCAGCATGGGCGTTAACTAATATAGCATCAGGTACATCTCAACAAACTCGTATAGTTTTAGAGGCAGGAGCTGTACCTATATTTATTAGATTATTGAGTTCAGATATAGAAGACGTTCAAGAACAGGTACTTTAATGTTGTTATTTCATAGCTGAATCAATTATATTGTTTCATATGATCTAATATCATCAATTTCACAAAATGCTCATTAGTAAAGTTGCCTATCCTCTTTTTAGATGCAATATTGTTAAAGCTAAATTACAATGAAGTCAAAGGAGTGTTTGTGTGGCACTATGTGCTTCATTTTAGATTCCCACTGCTTAATTCTCAAACTTGTA